AACGGCGCTCCATGCAGTCATGCTGGCCACATGACCTTGGAGGTGTCTATGGACAACGCCAGCTCTTCAGCTTAGAAATGGAGATGAGCACCAACCCAGAGTCAGACATGACTGGACTTAATGTCAGGGGAAAACCTTTTAGGTGGTTCACAAGAGGCAGGCCCATAGCCAGGATTTCGTTTGGGGGGGGGGCTGAATTTTTTTCAGGGGGGGTTTCGGGGGGCTGAGTTTCGGGGGGGCTGAGTCTGAGTGAAAGAGGGTCTAGCCTAGCAAACCTTTTGTATTATTACCCCAATACCCCCATGCATATGGGATATATTGAGTATGGTGATCAGAACATGATATGAATAAACATAACAGTTTAAATAATGCACCAGTAAGGCCTTTTCGCGAACCACCATCAGAATTTCGGGGGAGGGGGCTGAAGCCCCTCAAACCCCCCCCCCCACCCCCCCGGCTACATGCCTGGACAGTATCAAGATCAAAAGAAGGAATGCTCCTTAACTAGGAAAGGCCTTAACTAAATATTAAAATTGCTCAGAGACAATCATACAAAAACTCCCATCATTCTGTATTTTAGTTAATTTCTGTTAGTTAAATTTAGTTAAAGCCTATGTTTATTGTAATAGAATAGTGTTCTAGAGGGTGTTATGGTGTCAGTGTTGCATTGTTGGTTTAGATTTAACTTCATATAAATATAGTAAGAGCTATCAAACTATCTACATGTATCCACAGTCTAGCCAGGAATATATCACCCATGAATGCAGAAATCTTACTATATTAATAGGTATAGGATTTTTTTTCTTTATCTCATCTTTAGTTTTCTCTTATTTCGGTCTGTTGATTATTTGTTGTGACTAGTTATTGTGAATTAGACAGTATGTTTTAAAATCCGATTAATACAAACTTTTGTAAAACTCTCATCTTAACTTTGCCTATAAATTGTGTTTACCTGAATGCTATCCTTCCTGTTCAGCACTAACTCCCAATGGGATATCTCTCCAAAGAACAAAGCAACTGCAAGGCCAGTAATTATATGTAATTGCCACAGGCAGATCCAGCAAGGTGCTTAATTATATGCCAGATGAGGCATGCAAGCTAAGTTTGGAACAAACTTTGCCAAATAGCTGATTGTCAGGTGCTGCAAAGTAAAGAGCGGCTCTGGACACATCTGCTGCCTTACACACATAACAGTTTAATAATATCAACAAGAAACTGTCACAGCTGAAGGCAAAGGGAAGCTACAGAAACACATGGCTGCCTTGCCAGGGAAAAAAAGTTTCAAAGTTTTCCTTGGCTTTGGCTGATTTCTCATGCAATAGCTTTAATTCAGTCTTCAAATGGCACTACTTTTTTGATAATGTATAATGTACTTGTATAATGTACAAGTGTTTTAAGGAAAGTAGAAGTGATGCTGCTATATTCAAAGCCCAGTTTGACAGATTAATCAAAGTGGGGACTGCTTTAAGCAGTCTTGCTATTAGGTAATTTCTCTAAGTAATTAAGGCACATCTACACAGATCATTTAGGGCAGCTTGAAGGCAGCTTGAAAGTACAGTGGTTAGATAGTACTCACCATGAAATTGCACCGCAATCACTTTGCAGTTGGCTGTTAGGAATTCTGGGAATCCAAAACACATGGATGGCTGAAGTTTGCCCATACCTGCTTTAAGGGCTTTTAACTGACATAAACAAAGTTGAGGAATAGTCTGAGATCCCATCTACACTGCCATATAAATTCCAAATTATCTGCTTTCAACTGGATTATATGGCAGTGTAGAATAATATAATCCCATTCAAAGCAGATAGTCTGGATTTTATATGGCAGTGTAGATGGGGCCTGAAATAAATCCCTTACTGTGCATCAGTGCTCTCTAGTGCAAACCACATTGCACAACAAAATTGACTCTGCAGAATGCGAATCACTGTGCAGACACTGCTGATCTGCACATGTACATTCTGTGAAGTCATGGATACTATTGATCCTGGAACCCATTCGAGGCCAGCCTCTGCCATGCATGCAAACACCATCCAGCTCCCAGACTCGTTCCAGGACTTGCAATGCAATCATTCATACAGTAAAACCAATTCCTTCTATGCTAGTTGTATGCTTGATATAGGACTTCATCACATTTTTAGCATCCTAGTATGCAGTGGTGCAGCAGGCTAAAGTGCTAAGCTGCAGAACTTGCTGACCAGAATATCAGCAGTTTGAATCCATGGGACGGGATGAGTTCCCACTGTTTAGCCCTAGCTTCTGTCAAACGAGCACTTTGAAAGCATGCAAATGTGAGTAGATCAATAGGTACCACTTTGGCGGAAGGTAATGGCACTTCCTGAAGTCATGCTAGCCACATGACCTAGGAGGTGTCTATAGACAACGCCAGCACTTCCGCTTAGAAATGGAGATAAGCACCACCCCTCAGAATTGGACATGACTAGACTTAATGCTGAGGGAAAACCTTTACCTTGTATGCTAAAGAGACAGTGCAGTGATCGATGGGCACACTGCCCATCACACAACATCACTGGACTTCCTGTTGAAATCCCACCCTCAACCACAGTGGAAGCATCTTTGGATACTTTCCTCCTAACACATGAAGACACCCATGTTGTGCTTGCTCCAGTGGAACCCGCATGCTCCTGCTCCAGTTTGGTGACACTTCCCCCATGCAATGGAGGAAGCATTGCCACTCAGCAGCACACAGGGCAAGAGAGTTGTCTCACAACCCTGCTGTTTTGCTAGAGGCTGGCAAAACGGCACAGAGTGGGTGGGGGTCCATGTGGTGAGGTCATAAGTGTTTGGTGTAGATGTGCCCTTAGACTGGCCATTAGTTTTCAGTGTATAGAAAACACTCTTTAAATAATACTATGCTTTACTATTTCATAGAATTCTACCCTGAGATCTTTAGATAGAGATAGGGATGTTGGACTATGACTCTGGAGACCAGGGTACAATTCCATGCTTGGCCATGGAAACCCACTGGGTGACCTTGGATTAATCACACACTTTCAGCTCCATGATAGGATCACCAACATAAATCTGAAATGACTTGAAGACACACAACAATAAAAAATAATGTATAAATAAATCAGTGGTGTCACTTTAGATTGCAGCAAGAGCATGTTGCCAAATTTGGAGGCTCTTTTTAATATAGTGCAGTAGTGAGCAAACCCTAGATCCAGATATAGATCCCTCCAATCCAAACAAGAAATAACTTCATTGTAACAGTAATTGTTACAAGGCAGACTGGCTCTCTTTAGTTTCTTCTATAGTTACAAGAAGTGTGTGTCCATTTGTAATATAACCCAGTGCTTTGTACTTTTCTGGTGATGGAAAAATCCAGTAATTGAAAGTACCGTATTTTCTGGCGTATAAGACTATTTTTTAACCCAAGAAAATCTTCTCAAAAGTCAGGGGTTGTCTTAAATGCGGGAGTAGTAATATACGCCAAGAGTCGTCTTACAGAGTGGGTGCTGAAACTTCCAATCCGGATTGGAAAATCTGTGGTTGCCGCATATGGTGGGGGAAGCTCAAAAATGGCAGTGGCTGCATCCCTGCTGTATGCAGTGACTGTATGAAAGCATTAAGGGTGACGCTGTACAAGTACGGTAGAATAAAATCCATTCATCAGGGTTCGTGGACTTAATGTGGTCCCGATGATGAGGTGAAGGGGCGCCTCACCGAGAAGATGTAAGTGAAGGGCGGAGCAAGCTGCAGGTGTCCGGGGTACCCAAGGTATGGAAAAAAGAGATAGAGAGGCTCTGGGTCCAGAAAAACACACCTCTTTTACCTGTCTGGCCCGCCCTTGTATCCTATTACCGTACCTCCTCCTCCTCTGCCTCACAGATCTCGCTCCTGAAGACTGCTATGAAGCAGTGCAGGTGCGCATGTGCAAGATCTGAGAGGCAGAGAAGAAGGTACAGTAATAGGAAAATTACCATATTGAAATCAAATCTGATGCTTTTTAAATTTTTATTTGGTATGCATTGGAAGAGAGGTAGTCTTATTTAGCGAGTATATCCCAAACTCTATATTTTAACTGGAAATGTTGGGGGTCGTCTTATACGCCCAGTCGTCTTATATGCTGGAAAATATGGTAATTATTGTAAATATTTTAAATAACAATAAAGTAGAAGTAGTTGAAATAATTCTCAGTACTTTATAAGACTGGAAACTGTGCTGGCAACTAGTTAATTTTAAAATTAATTCCCCAAAGCTCCTGCTGTTTTGAAGTTTGAAATGAACACATATGAGAGACAGGACCCCACTAAGAGTGATTCTACTGTAGAATTAGTGCCCTTTATTTGCTATGGCTCAATGCTATGGAATCATGGGAGTTGTAGTTTTGCAAGGTCTTTAGCCTTTTCTATCAAAGAGTGTTGATAATTAATAATAATAATAATAATAATAATAATAATAATAATATACTTTATTTATATTCTGCTTTATCTCCCCAAAGGGACTCAGAGCAGATTATTCAGTGCTTTTTACACAGTGAACAGCAATGACATACAATACACAGACAAAGGTAAAGGGCTTCCCCTTTCATCTCCGGCATCTGGAGGCAATGCTCAAGTCCGGCTATGAGGAGATGCTATTGCTGCATTTGTCCATGCTGAGGAGCCTGTTGTCCATAAACATCTCCAATTGTGTTTGCAGGCATGTCTGCATGGGACGCCCTTTTACCTTCCCGTCAAGGCAGTACCCATTGATGTACTCACACTGCATGCTTCCTAAATGCTAGATTAGCAGAAGCTAGGGCTTCTCACCAAACTATAACTCTCAGGATTCCATAACACTGAAGATTAGCAATTGAAGTGGTATCAAGCAGCATTAATTCTACAGTGTACATGCATGTCAAGCCAACCACTGTTATTCTAAAGCAACCGCTGTTATTTTGAAATACCAATAAATATTCTCTTTTTCTCTTCCTCCTCCCTCTCTATAGCATAATACGAATAGGCATTGTAAAGTTACAGATAGCAAAAACTACAGGTTTGCTTTCAAGAAGCATTTTTATTATGTGCTGATATCAGAAGATGGAATAACTAAGAAAAAATATCTCTGTTCTATACAAAACAGTAAAAGAAATCTTAAATAGATCAGGTTTTTAAAAGTATTTTGAACTTGGTCCTTCAAAGTTAAATTGAAACACGTTCCTTTACTTTGTGTTTGCAGGATGTTCATCTGAGATGGCCCATTGATTTTCTGGTGCACAGCTTTAGGAAGATGAATCTTGCATCTTGCCTTGTTTTGCCTAATATTTAACCAGTTGGGGAGAGGGACCTATAACCCTCCAGAAATTGTTGGGCTACGACTCTCATCATTCCCAAGCACTGGACAAACCGACTAGAGTGGAGGGAGATTTGAAGGGGATAAACAATGACTTTCAGCTATTTTTAAAAAACCAAAATAAAGGAATAAGGCAATCTGCCTTTGGCAATCATAAGCATAAATGTGTATTGGAGTCTTATCTTCCTACTCCCACCAGTTTGTCTCCCAGAAAGAAAGAAAAAGAATTACTTTAACAGGAACATTTGGGATCAGCCTTAGAGGCTGATATAGAAATAAAGAAAATGGAAATTTTACAGAGATTCTTGTGAAGCATTAATCTTGATAGGCTGCATTCTGGAGATACTGGCAAGACCAAGCCTCACAAATACAACACTGTCAAGGGAAAGAGAGAAAGTGCAAACATATGTTAACCAGAAGTGTATGTGTGTCTAATTACAGTACATATTGAAAAATCACAGAGATTTTTTGACATCAACTGATACAATATTCACTATACCTGTAGGACTGGTAGCCAAAGTTTCACATACCTACATCTAACCGTTACCTTAGAGCAGTGGTTCCTAAACTTTTTTTGACCACTTGACCAGGGACCACTCTCCAACATTAGTACCAAAAGGATTATGAATCAGTTTTTGGTCAACTTTAGATTAGGTTTGGTTCTTTGGGGTGCTGATTCAGAAAATTGCATTTGGATAGACCACATCAACTCTACTTTCTGATGGAGAATATATGCCATCCAGTAGTCACCATCTGCTCACCCCCAGAAAACCATATTTAATAAGCCTCGGCACTATAGGCAGGTTTCGCAAGAACCGTCACTCTCATTGTAACGGTGTAGTAATGGTGAGGCCATGAACCATAGAATCATAGAATCATAGAGTTGGAAGAGACCTCATGGGCCATCCAGTCCAACCCCCTGCCAAGAAGCAGGAATATTGTATTCAATTTTTAGTTCTTGTGGACCACTGGTGGTCCATAGACCACAGGTTGGAAACCACTACCTTAGAGTCTCAATGGAGGACCTAGCAAAATTTTGCTAGGAATTTCCTAGGTCCTCCAGTGAGAATCTATAGTGCCATCCAACAGAAGTCATTCATTTCAATAAGGTTGACTATGACACAGCCCAACAAAAGTATTTCTTAGTGTCTTGGTTTTTAGACTTGTTCCTGGAGTTATCTGGGGAACTTTTAAAGAAAATTGTACTGGATAGACTGCATCAGCTCTATTTTCTTAGATATGGTTATCATTATTTTCAGATGACACTGCATCACAAAAAAATTAGAGCTGATAGGGGAAAATTGGTGTCTGGTTTTCTCAGTAGTGCATCTTGCTTCTGTTATAATCAAGCTTTAAAGTTGAGATTATCACTTTCCACAACTCTTACAAAGCTAATGGAAAAACCTGAAAATCTTGATCCCCACCCCCAAAGACTGTAAAATTCCTTCTTGTCCCTCCCCACCAGATCATATTTTATTGCTCCACACACCTTGATGGTCTTGGCAACTCTTGGCATGCTTCAAACCTATAACACAGAGAAAGAAAATTAGCTCACCTCTAGTTTCTTCAAACAGACACTCAGCTTTATTAAAAAGGGAAATCCCACATTAGGTCTTGCCAGTTTCACGATTCCTTGGCCCAAAAGCAGGTAAATTGTTCCCAGATACTTGGGAACTGTTTTGAAGGGGTTTTTTAACTTGTAAAGTGCCATACCCAGTGATGGTGCATCATTATTATTGTTATTGACATTGTTGTTGTTGTTGTTGTTGTTGTTGTTGTTGTTATTATTATTATTATTATTATTTTACTGGTGATAGAACTGGTGATGTACCCTACAAATCAAAAATTACATCTCTCATTATTATATTTTGCTTAGTTAAGATGATATTTGAGGAAGAACAGTTAGGACTTCATCCACACAGCTGTATAAAATCCATATTGGACTGGATTGTGTGGCAGTGTGGACTCAGATAAGCCAGTTCAAAGCAGATATTGTGGACTATCTGCCTCGATATTCTGAATTATATGCAGTCATGCTGGCCACATGACCTTGGGGGTGTCTATGGACAACGTCGGCTCTTTGACTTGGAGATGAGCACCAACCCTAGGAGTCGGACACGACTGGACTTAATGTCAGGGGAAAACTTTACCAGTACCTTATGGCTGTGTGGAAGAGCCATAACATTCAATCTCCTACTGAGATGTACTTGAATTCTTCTATCCACCCAACCCAGGCAGGAGGGGAGTCTTTGCAAGAAGATGGATGCTGAATTATAATCCCCCCCCCCCAAAACAAAAAAACTTAATAAATCCCATTCGGTTACCTTCCCCCACAAAAATACAGTTGTGGTCGCTGCAGGTTCCCACTGAAACGGCAATGATCGTCTTGTTTGTTGGGTTTTTTTCCACTGACGTGACTTTGAACACCTCATAAGGAGGGACTAAGACTTCCTGCTCATGTTGGAAAAAGGACATCTCGCTGATCTCAATCCCCTTGCAGGTGATCAACTTGAAGAAAGTTACTGTCTGAAAGAACTGGGCTATTTCTGGATCCTCTGATGTGGAGGTGAACTGCCCAAACCGGAAGTAGCGGCCAACAGAAAATTTCACACCAGTGCCCCTGTAGACTTGCTGACAAGTGAATTTCTTCCCAAAAAATCTGGTTGCCCAGGTTAAAAGAAAATGGAGAGATTTGAAGGGGTAGGCAGCATATTCCTCTGGACCTTTTACGGCTGTGCGGGTGGCAGAATTAAACTCCTGATAGAGTGAAGGGAATCCTAGAGTATATGCATAGAGAGCCACCTCAGAGAGTTCTTCTAAATTCCTTGGATACATCCATGTCCTATTTTCTTGCCACGCAAATAGGGCTGTCGCCCAAGCTTCACTATACAGTGTAGAGGCATTCAGCTCACTTCGAAAGAGAGAGGGCAAGTGGCGCTTCATACTTGCCAAGCAGCCATCATACTGATCATCAAGGGAGCCATGTGCCATGTTCAGTTCAGGTCTGGCCTTCTTTTCTGACATTTCATTGTAGCTAGTCTGAAATCAATGAATAATTGCATAGCATGAGTCATGCTGCCCTTTCAGAAAACAGATAAATACATTCGCTATTTGAAAGGTAGAGTCCCTGCTATATCAAGCAGACAAAGAAATCCCTCTATTCTGAGATGAATGTTTCATTATCATCAGCATATGGACTTAAACAGCATTTGTTTAATGAGTTAAATTAATGTATTGTTGAAGGATTTCATGGCCAGAATCACTTGCTTGTTGTGAGTTTTCTGGGCTGTATGGCCATGTTCCAGAAGCATTCTCTCCTGATATTTCGCCTGCATCTATGGCAGCCATCCTCAGAAGTTGTGAGTTCTGTCTAACAACTACCATGCCAGACTTCACAGAGAAGCCATTGAAATCCACAAGCATGTGGACATTTTCAACAGAAAGGAAGAACCATGAAAATAAACCAAATCTGGCTAGCAATATTGAAAAAAACTCTAAAATTATAACAGTAAATAAAGAACAACACTCAAAAACAGGGGAATTCCAGGCAAGGAACAATTAGGGCCAGCTAATCACCTCCCAACAAAGGATTCCCCCAGACAGTAAGAAGCCAGACCTTGAAATTGCTATGCCATTAAATGCTAATCAAGGTGGCCAATTGTAACACTCATACCTACCTCAAACAGACAAGAGTTCTTTCTCCCACTCTGGTTATTCCACAGATATACGTATAAACCCTATTTTCCTAGTTTCCAACAGACCTCACAACCTCTGAGGGTGCCTGCCATAGAAGCAGATGAAATGTCAGGAGAGAATGCTTCTGGAACATGGCCATACAGCCTGGAAAATTCGCAACAACCCAGTTAAATTGATGAAGACAGGGTACAGAAATGCTTAAACTGAGGGTAAGTACATGTAACAATTACATCAGTGGAAAAATGTTCAAAAGTACATAATAAGGGACATTTCAATGAAAATTGTAATGGTGACTTTCAAAATAACCCTTATAACACAATTACTAAAAATACTAAAATAACTGCAATAGTAAAATGATGAACTAATTGATAAATGTGGACTCTATCAACATTGCAGAGTTAGAGAGTTCGACACACATAAACAATCATGACTCAATGCTATGGGATGTTGGGATTTCTACTTTTATGAGATAGCTATCCTTGTCTGTCAAAGAGTTCAGATGCCACAACGAACTACAAATTTCTGTCCATTTCCAATATTAAGTAAGAGAAGGACTCCCTGTCAGACCAAGCATCTAATCATGCACCAATCCAGTGTTGCAACATTAGAAGCTGGACTTTGGGGTCTTGGCATGAAACGGCTGACACAGGAACCCCATTCAAGTGTTTGGTGAGCATATAAGAGAGGTGTGCACTGTCCTCTGCAATGAGTCTGCACCCTCAAAGGTGAAACATAAGACAATAGAAAAGGTTGTTGGAGCTATGGAACTCTCTAGATGAGTGAAAACCAGTTTCCCCATATCTCGCATACATAGAAAGTCTCCACAGATATGGCAAGATCCACTCTTAGACACCTCCTTAGCATTGACAGGATTCCAGTCTCCAGTCGTCCCATGCTAATCAACCACAGTAAATCCATTTGTCCTTCTCCAACATGAGCAAACCCTGAATGTCAACTCACCACCATCACCTTGTTCTTTCTAACTAGGTATTTTTCATTGAAAAGAGAATAAGATAGATGAGACTTACCACCACATGCAACAGAACCACGAATGTGATTAAAAAGAAAACCAAAAAAGGTCTCTCCATCCTATTACCCTAAAGGAATGTCAGAATTATACAGGAGATACGGCAGGTTTTAGATTAGTGATTTCCAGGAGTCAAGTTGACGATGAAGACCAAAACTTAAAACGGGATTCTTTAGACAATGAAGCACTTTTCCTCCTCGCCTTCTGACTACAAACCCTTGGGGCCTATTTCTAGGAGTCTTTAACACAGATAAAGTAATCAGCCCAACGGAAATAAAGCTAACTTGTGATAGCTGCTAAGGAGATAACAAGATGGGTACGATATGTGTTTCAAAGAAACGGCTTCACCATAGGATGTAGAAAACATCAGTTTATTTCACTTATCTCCAGGATGTGACTATTTCACTTTTCTGCGGAAATATCTTCTTTGCACTATAGGAGCTGCAGTCTAGTCCAAGTGATTACAAGTAGAGAGACAATAACAAATTGGAAAATAATATGTAACTCTGAAAAAATTGTCTGAGCGAGTGGGTTTAAAGATCTGAAAGATGCTGTTTACTTATACACATACACAAATACATATTGCTTATCGAAAATTGTTGAGGATTCTATCAAAAATTTCAGTGTGATGACTCCAAAAGAACTTGTCAGCATCCAGATAAAAGACATTCCAACTTTTTGAGAGATGATATAAACGTTTACATACATGTGATATATACGTACTAGGCTTGGGCGGTTTCGTTCATTAATTTCGTAATTCGTTATTAATTCGTATTTAAATTAGCTTACGATCCAATATTGAGCCATGCAGGAATAGTGTGAGGAGTAAATTAGATTCGAAACAATTTTTTTCAATTTATTTCGTAATTATTTCGTAATTATTTCGTAATTATTTCGTAATTATTTCGTAATTATTTTCGCATGTCTGGTGCAAGTTTTATAGTTGTTGTTTGTTTTATCACACCAACAGTCAACAACAGAGGGAGAGGGAAGCTTCAGAAGATCCAGCGTTGACTCACTAGGTAGATATTTCCCTCAACTATCCCTGTAGAACTGGTATATTACTAAAGCAAAGCTAAGATGAAATTTCTCAGAAGATATTTTAGGACCTTCTCACTCAAAAGAAGGAGACTTTTCAGAAGTTTCTCCAAATAATCTCCAAGTGAGGTGTGTGTGTGTGTGCATTGTTGTTGTTGGCAACCACTTTCCTTTCACAGTCCCCAGGAAGACTGATAGGTTTCAAGGCCTTTGGGTCTATGCAAGAGTTTGACCAGGCTAGCACTTGGTTTGGAGGCCACCAATGAATATCAATACAGGCTATATTTCAGAGAAAGGAACTGGCAAAACCACCACTGAGTGCTCTTTAAAAAAAAACCTTTGAAATTCATAAGGTCACCATAAATCAACAGGCATTTTGTAGGCACATACGCATATGTATGACTCACTAAACTACATATTCAAGATTTCATAAAATGCAGTCATGACCATTAAGTAGATGCTGTATTTCTGTGAAAGGTTATGTCTACATGAGGCAGTTTGCTCCAGTATACATTTTTTCCCAGAATAGCCCTGGATTCAGCACATATGTGGTGAATCTGGGGTCAGTGTTTATAAAATTACCTACAGCCTATATATATAAGGTGTCTTTGAAATACCAGTCACCTTAGGCTTGGGTCTCATGTCCAATATTTCTCGTTATGTACATGGAGACCTGGTGGTGCAGTGGGTTAAATCACTGAGCTGCTGAACTTGCTGATCAAAAGGTCAGTGGTTCGAATCCGGGGAGATTGGTGAGCTCCCATCATTAGCCCCAGTTTTTGCCACCCCAGCAGTACAAAAACATGCAAATGTTTAGGTACTGCTCCAGCGGGAAGGTAACAGCACTCCATGTAGTCATGCCAGCCACATGACCTTGGAGACGTCTACGGACAAGGGCGTCTTTTTGGCTTCAAAATGGAGATGAGCACCAACCCCCAGAGTTGGACATGACTAGACTTAATGTCAGGGGAAAACCTTTACCTTTACTACATATATACAAATACAGATATTCCAAAATCTGGGGGGAAGATTCAAAACACTTCTCGTGCCAATCATTTTGGATTAAGGATACTCAACCTCTACTGAATTATTATTGCAGCACTGGTGTTTTTCAGCAGGAGGATGTCGCTCTCTCTGGCCAGTGTTTACAATACCCTTACCCTCCATTTCTTCTCCTATTCCAACTTGTTTAGGAAATAATACTAATAGAAACTTGTCTTGCTTCCCGTTTTTGCTGAGTGCTTATTGCTAGCAGGCACAATAAATAAAAGTACTTTGGTGGCAGCTGGCCAGTCAGAGTTGCAGCCAGAGACTGTTTTAATCAGGAACAGTGAGCTGAACAAATATGTCACTCTCTTCGTAAGCAGAGTTAATCAGAAAGCAAAGCAAGGATGTGGTCTTGAAGGATTAGAAACTATCTTTACTTTTTTTAATAATTAGAAGTTAAATTTAAAATATTTGCTCTTCTTTCATAAGAAATGGCATATGGTACAACTTCAACTCACTATTCCCTGCTACACCCTTTCTCCTTACAATCAAAATGCCTTGAAATATTAATTAAAGAAGTAAATATTATTTTAACTTAAATTGATTCACAGGTCTGAGATTTTTAAGTCTTCCTTTTGTGTCATATTCTGCCTCTATCTTTGAGTGCAGCTACACTGTAAGATTAATGCAGTTTGACTCCACTTTAACTGCCATGGTTCAATGCTATGGAATCTTGTACCGTGCATTCACCACTTCAGGGTTATGAGAATCAACAACCACCACTGAAGAGCACTTGTATCCATTGCCCTCCTTGCAGGAGTTCCTAACAAAATCATAGACGAATGGCAAAAGATGGAAAGCCTTGACAAAACTTTCTCATCCCATTCTCAAGATTAACTTTGTGAATAACATTGGTTCTGGACTGTGCTTGTTTACCTGAAGGTTCCTCTTGCCATTAAGTTCCAACTCTCAAAGGGGCCTCTCACTACAGCATAAGCCAGGTCCAAATCGAGCAATTATCATTTCCCCATCCAAACACTGCAATTAGAGGTCACACATCGGGCAAGTATGCTAACTTTTGAATAAACTTTCCAAGTAATTGAGAAGTCAGAATGAGAGAGGTGATGCAGATAGAAAGACCAGTCCATTATCAATATATTAATAATTGACGATCCAATTGAATAATATCAATAAACCAGCGTTGTAAGTAGTGACCAAAGGCAACCACAGAAACAGCTGAAAAAGTAAAGGGGGGGGGGGAGAGAGATGATAGATAGATAGATAGATAGATAGATAGATAGATAGATAGATAGATAGGAAAGGGTTAACACGACTGTGGCATATATAGAGAGACAGACAGACAGACAGAAGAGAGTTACACTTTTAAAATGTATATCTTCCAACTTGCATACAATTACATCTTAAGAACAAACCTACAGAACCTATCTTGTTTGTAACTTGGGGACTACCTGTAGTTCTTTTGCTTTGTAGTGGGAAAATTTTCTCCACTGGGAACAACTACTGCCAGCACTGGTGCTGACTGGAAATTGTTGGGCTGCTGAAAAAGCCAGTTCATCTGCTTTCCAGTGTTTTACTGGTGGCGAGGGATATTACGCAGGTTTGGGACAATTACTACTGTTGCCATGACAGAAGCTATGATTTACAAAAGCAGCATTTGCAGAAGAAACCAACTACCACATGCTGAACTTGGCCAAGGAGCAATTCAGCTATAACCAAGGTAAAAGTATTTGTTCCTGATTATTTTATAGTATAGTGATAATAGATTACATTCAGGTGGAAGGCTCCTTATGCTACCCATTGTAAGATGGTATATCATATCAGGGCATTTGTCGCCAACAAATTACAGTAACATCCAAAAATCACAAACCAGTGAAACCTTTATTGGGCCAACCCAAAAGACATAAAATACTTGATAAAATCGTTTGAAGTTCCAGTTGCTTCTTCATCAGGCAACAGTGTTTTTAAAAGTATTTAATCTTTTCATAGAAATGTGTGTGTGATAAAAATGCTGGAAGAAACGATAGAAAAACATAGGATGATTATTTGCAAATTGGAGCGTCTGAGAGCTGAAATCCATTCAAAATTGTGTCAGATAAAACAATTTTATGATTAAATGTCTAATCTAGAAGCTCATTGATTTTCCATCTAAGCATTAGGAAAATGCTGACAGCAATTGTTCTTTGGCAGTTGAATAAACTATCTTGAGATATCATTCATTCGCTATAGGTTTTAAAACAGAAGTAGCGTGGGGCAGCTATAAGGAATGCTTTAACTGTAGGCAACTATACCAGTAGAAGGTTCCATTAAATGGCTTTGGATGTCTTCTCCAACTCCTATGATCCTTGTCTCACATCTTTCACATCTCACATTTATTCTGGATATTGATTACAACTATCTGCCCAATTTATTTGTTTCCTTCTCCTCCTTCATATTGTTCTTACTGTTAACTGTCTTAAATTTACTTTGACTTATAGCAACTCCATGAGTGAAAGACCTTCAAGTTACTCTATCCACCTAGATGTGCTCAGGTCTTGCAGGCTCAGGGCAATGACTTTATATAGCACATTTTATAGCTTAGATTAGAGATGAATGGGCTTCCAGATGTCTTTGGGATGCAATTCCCTTCACCCTTTCTTATAGCTAGGACTGATGGTACCTGCATTCCAGAATAAGTCAAGGGCTCTTATTTTTAATTAAAATATTTATACGCTTCCTTATCTCAGCAGTAGGCAATGACATCAATTTAAAATCACATTGAACAATTTAACACTTAAAACAAGATAGTTTAATAGTTCCACACTGCCCCTCTATCCCAGGATCTGATCCCAGATTATTTGCTTATCCCAGATTACTTGGCAGTGGAGGCTCACATCATCTAATTTAAAGCAGATAATTTGGGATAAGATCCTGGTATAAATGACAATGTAAAAGGATCCTAGAGGCATATCAAATAGTTTAACATGAAAGTTGAAGACAATTTAAAAATTTGTTTATGTGTGGATTTATATAATACCAATTAGGTTCTCAAGGCTGGCTTTGTTTGCTTGTTTGTTTGTGCTTCATTAATTTATTTAATAAAAAGTTATGGCCATAGTCCTGTGTAATAATTTGAATAATTACATATTTAAAGTGGACTTATGTATGCAGGAATTGCTCAGTTTTATAATACCAGTATCCAATAGACGGCTGGTGTTAAGGTGCTACATATTATAGCACAGCTGTCAAAATGCCTGATGTGCATTATGCAACAATGCTTATTGTGCACTGATGCATATTGGACCCAATGCACATTGAGCATTCTTGTCGATGTGCTGATACACAAGTTTGCAATTAACAGAGGTTTTTTAGTGCTTCTACTCTGAGCTAGATATACATAAATTAACATTAAGTATAAAAAAGTAGAAATAGGATTCCAGCATATGTTTTTACTTGGTGCCACATTGAAACCAGTGTTGGCATCAGCTAAACTTAAAATGAGTTATTCCTTTACTAAGGTGGTACAGCAGAGTTCAATGCTCTTCCATATTCCCAACCCTTGCTCCATGGAAATGTCATGTATTTCCTGCTTGGGAGCCCTCATAGCAAATCCCATGGATCTATCAAGAGCTCCTACTATGGATAGTACTCATGACACTCTACATAAGCAACTCCCTAAGATGTTATATGCTTACTTGAAACTAAATCTGCCTCTATCCCTGATAATGCAGTATTTTGCTGTGATCAGTGTCAATGTTGCTGTTTTAGCAAAAGGCAATTCTTTAAAAAAACATATGAGTGAAGCTTTGTAGGAACATGCTAGGAAAGAATATGGTTAGTGAAGTTTATGTGAAGGAACAAAAAATGGTGCTGAGATAGTACCAAGTGGAAAGTAATGGTTCAGTCAGGGAGATATAGGCTTTGTTTTAAGATGCAGGCTATCACTGAGTATATACCCAGCCTTGGAATTGGGAAACAATCATATCCTTTCACACAAGAATTTAGTCTTACTTCTCTCAAACTATTCTTTTTCACTAAAATGGAGATTTTTCAGTTGCTGCTATTGGGAATTAGCAACATATATATTACAGATCATTAAGAGATTTACACCACAGACCAACCACACACAAAGATTCTTGGTGTCTAGGGTTTTAGGCCTGTTCCTGGGGTTATTTGGGGCACTGATTAAGAAAATTGCATTGGATAGACCTCATCAGCTCTAGTTTATTAGATCTGGTTATCATAATTTTTTATGAACGAGCAGATGAAGACTATTATATGGCATATTATCTGTATCTCAAAAACTTGAGCTGATAGAGGAAAACTGGTGTTATTTTTGGAATCAGTGGGTCAAATATACACAGACCTAATATTTGAGGCACCAAACTGTGTTTTGGTCAGTGCCATAGATCCCACTGTGCCCTTCTACCCATTGCTGATGCAAAATAGCTCTATTATATGTATTGTCAAAGGCTTTCATGGCTGGAATCACTGGGTTGTTGTAGGTTTTTTTTTTTTTACTGTATGGCCATGTTCTAGAAGCATTATCTCCTGATGTTTCACCTGCATCTATGGCAGGCAACCTCTGAGGACACCTGCCATAGATCCAGGCGAAACATCAGGAGAGAATGCTTCTAGAACATGGCCATACAGCCCCAGAAACCTACAACAACCCAGCTCTATTATAGTCTGCATGGCATTAGCTAAAACCTGGTAATTTCATTCTATTTCATTTTAAACTGGACTCAAAGGTTTAGGAGTTAATAATCACTTTGTCTGCAGACAAGATAAGTTGATGTCCACATCTGAAGATTTCCCTTCCTATGTCTATTTCTCTGCAGATGGCTGCGGGACAAATCAGATCCTGGGAAAACCAGAGCACAGTGAATGAGTTCATCTTACTGGGATATCAAGAGTATCCTGCTGTCCTCCTCACAGCCTTCCTAGCCATATATATGACCATTATGCTGGGCAATAGTCTCATTGTAGTGGTGACAACATGGGACCCTGCCTTGCAGACCCCCATGTACTTCTTCCTCCGCAGCCTCTCAGCATTGGAAATGTGTTACACTTCAGTCACCCTTCCTAAGATGATGGCCAATTTAGCCTCAGGGGACCTCTCCATCTCACTATCAGCCTGTGCATCACAGATGTTCTTCCTTCTCTTCTTAGGTGCGACAGAATGCTTTCTGTTGGCAGTCATGGCTTATGACCGCTATCTCGCCATTTGTCTCCCTCTTCACTACATGACAACTATGAGTCAGAAGGTGCAGGTGGGGCTTGTGGCCAGTTCATTTGCCATCAGTCTCCCGATGCAGCTGATCCAGATTGGACTCATCTTCTCTTTGCCTTTCTGTGGACCCAATGAGATTGACCACTTTTTCTGTGACATCCCACCAGTACTTAGCCTGGCATGTGCTGATTTGTATGTCAATGAGTTGGCTGTGTATACTGAGAACATCCTCTTTGTCATAATCCCCTTTGGACTTATCTTGGCCTCTTACATCCATATCACCAAGACCATCTTGTGTATACCTTCAGCCACAGGGCGGCAGAAGGCCTTTTCAACTTGCTCATCCCATATCACTGTAGTGATTCTCTTCTATGGCTCTGCAATGCTTGTCTACCTGCAGCCCAAATCTCCTGGTTCAGCAAAAGTTAACAAGTGGCTTTCTCTATTCTACACAGTCATCATTCCCCTTTGCAACCCCCTGATCTATACTCTAAGGAATCGTGAGGCAAAAGCTGCCCTTAGGAGACTATTGGGAAAGGCGTTTTGAAGGGAATACAGATTTGATGGACTGATTCCACCTTCTGAATGTCACTCATTATAACCCTTGGCATGTATATCTCCATTCCACAAGAGTTTGTATTATCTTATAATAGAAGGTGGGAAAGTGCAAGCCATGGGGTTCATTCTGGGACCACTTTTGTAATCTCTGATGGCCTCCAAGAGACCCCTGAGGCCTCCAGGATCATGTACCACTTTTTTAAAGCCCAACAAAATGAACACACAAAACACCAAAAATGTGGTTTGGGTCTACTTGTCCCCATAAGTCTTCAAAAATTAGCCCAAATACCCCTTATTCTCAGGATTGAAAGTGACATGATTTGACATCTCTTTCACTCATATTGTGATCTCCATTACAAACACCAAAAAAATGTAGTTTGGGTCTGCTTGTTCCCATAAATCTTCAAAAATTAGCTCAAATACACCTGATTCTCAGGACTGGAAGTGACATGATCTGACATTGCTTTCACTCATACTGTGACCCCCATTGCAAGCTATGGGAATGTTGGAGAGAATCGTCCCTCTCACCTCTACAGTTGTCCACCCCATTTACAACAACTCTAAAATGTCACAGGGAATGCTTCTTCCCAGGTTGTAAGAGGACAAGCTGATAGGGTTGTTATAGATTTTTTGGGCTGTATGGCAATGTTCTAGAAGTATTCTCTCCTGACGTCTCCTGCATCTATGGCAGGCATCCTCAGAGGTTGTGAGGTCTGTTGGAAACTAGGAAAATTGGGTTTATATATATATGGAAAGTCCAGGGTGGGAGAAAGAACTCTTGTCTGTTGGAGCTAGGTGTGAATGTTTCAATTGGCCACCTTGATTAGCATTTGATGGCTTGACAGTTTTTAGGTGTGCCCTGTTACTGCCTGGGGGAATCATTTGTTGAGATAGATTTTGTCAGAAATGTTCTGATAACATCAGGGTATGCTGAAGTGAGAACTTGTATTCCACAATTTGAACTCTTATATAGGCAGTTACAAATATCCAATTTATACATGACTCATAATTACGAACGGGGGTGAGACACCAAGAATTGAGAGAAATCTATCACTAGGAAGGGAAAATCACTCCTGAAAGAGTTAACATGTGGGAAAAGGAGCCTCCACAAAAGTTTTATCACCAATCCTTTTTTCCACAAGTAAAAAAAAAATTAATATCCAATTATCGCAGGGACAGAAAATGAGGTGAAATCTTCTAAATTGGGGCACAGACAGCCAAACAAACACCACAGGGGTGTTAATCCTTCCCTATGCTTTCTGAAACTAAAACGTACATATTTTCATCTTGGAGTTACACTTAAAAAAAACATTTTTGATGTAATTTCTTGTAATGTATGTGTGCAATTTCTGAGCTGCCTGCTTTTTCTATGTCCATTTATCTAATGCGGTGTCTATGTATTCTATTCATTGAGCCAAAAAGCACATCACAAAATTCAGAGAAGCACACTGGCCAAATAATAACTTTCAATTAGTCTAAGAGAATATCTTGCCCAGAAGATGCAGAACCTGGATGGTATGCTTAAATGTGGGATGGTGTTTTCATGTAAGGAAGAAAACAATATCCATCATCCTTGTAAGAAAACTGAAGAAAGTAATGTCCAGATTCAGATTATGTTTTGAGCAGTATATGAATATACTGGCTTTCTTAGATTATACATTTTCTTAGACAATACATTTTCTTAGATTAGTTGACATGCATAGCATATAAACCCTTCTAGATTAAATGATATATCATATGCAAATGTATGTTGTTGTTTTTAATGAGATGCTGACATCTCCAATCCCACTTTATATGTTATCTATGTAAGGGAGACAGGTGAGATGCAGAGAGGGCAACACTGGGCCTCTTTCCACCCCATCCAAGAGGAGCATTTTTTAAAAACCTGTGAGTCATGTCAGCCTTAACAATACTCTGAATCACTATTAAATAAAAGGTTGTTGCTATCACTATTTTTAGTCATCTCTCTGTTTCATTTCTTAAAGGAGAATGAAAGTGAATAATAATGCTAAAAACAATTCAATTTATAATTAAAAATCTACAGTGTATTAAAAAGGATTAAACAGAATGATTAAAAATATATAGCTAATTTCACATAAAACTATTAAAATTGTTAAAATCTTAAAATACCACACAATACCCCCGACTCATTCTTTAAAACTGTTGGACCTCAGCAGGAGTTCGCCTTGCTCACAGCACTCACCAGGAAACCAGACGTGGTAATAAACAATTTATTGATAAAACACATAGAAGAAAATAATAGGGTAAAAATCCAGTTGTGAATATAGAAAGCCCGTCCCATAGGCAATAGGTACATCCAAAAGCAAGAGTTAAAATGTGAACATAAATCCAGAAAACAAGGCACAAAACAAGAGCATGAATCCATAGATAAATCCATAAAGCAGGAAGCAAGTAATCTTGAGCCTAGAGCATGAACCAGGAACAAGACAAGAGTTTCCCACTCCAGTAGCGACGTTGCTTGATCTGAAATCCTAACAGCTCTCTCTCATCATTTAAGGATTGCAATGCATGAACACATTCCTTTGACCTTGAGAGTTCTGATTCTGCCTCTCCTACCAATGGCTTTGCTTACCCCTGAATTTCCTCCCATTCAGGAGCAACCTAGTATCTCTGTCTAAGCCAGCTGTTTCTTCGGATGAGCTCATGTTATCTTCCCCTCCCTGCCTGTTGGCTTCCAAAGCAGTTTCATTTCCATACTCAGAAACAACATCTTGCTCTGAAACCCCCTTGGTTCTTCCAACTGAAGAACCATCTTGCTCCAAACGCCCCTCTGTCTGGGCACCCATCAGGCCCTGCATCCCCAAACCCCTCATCGGCATCAGCTGACTGAACTACAACAAAAGCTTATTTATTAATTCCATGTCTAACTTACCAAGCAGGACAGTTGTGGTTCGGATGCTGCTCTCCACCCACCATTCCCCCACTCAGATCTCCCCTCTCCCAGGGGCCTCCATGTGCTGTATGCCCGGCCAGTGAGCAAAAGAGCTGCAGAAAATCAGATTAAGCTCTCAGGTTCAGCCTGATTGGCTAAGAGGGGAAAGATCTGAAGTAAGACCACTTACCTGTGGTCCACCTGCTGGGTACTGAAGAAGACCTGATTGCTCTCTCCAGCTCAGTTGCCTTTGAGCTCCTCCTGTCCGTCTATCTTTTATTGTTTATCATTCTTTGTGCTGTATCTTCTATTTGTCACAACTTGAGACCTGATGACATGGGCCTTGGATCTGGTTTCACTCTCTGACCATTCCATTAGCTCCTGGGATGTGTTCTTCCATCCTTGTGTTGGGGATTGGCGGCTGTGCAGGGAACCTGGAGTGCATTGGACAGGTGTCTGCATAGCACTCTCCTTGTTGATCACCATTTCAGGTTTGGTCAAAGCAGTTGGAACAGGTTGCATTAGCCTTTTCCAGATGAATGCTTAGCCTGCTGGTAAAGTTACTATTTTGAATTTTTGCCATTAATATATCATCAACCAGGTGTGAGAAAGGCAGTATATAAATACAGTAAATGAATAAATAATAATGGTATCACCAGCTCAGTACACAGACTGGCTGATGTTGGGATCCAGGACACATGTGTAGCCGCCAACCCCATTTTCAGCTGTAATCAATAAAGTCAAGTTGTGGCCTTTGTGACCCCAACATTTTGCATGGCTTGTCTTATTTGGAATGGGGGGGGGGGGTGTAGCTTTGCACATGCAAAAAGCCCTTATATTAAAACAAATTTATTTCCAGAAACCAAGTAGACATTGCTGGTTACAATGCTAGACATCTTTTTAGTTCTGCTGGATAAGAATAGACAACGCATGGCCTATGAAACAATGGCTTTTGTATCAGGGTTCCAACAAATTCACACTGGGCTTTATTCCAGCCATGAAAAGAACTGTTCAGTGTGCCAAGCTTATGGGAAGTAGAGTTCACTGTCTTGGATAGCTCCTCTGAAGTCTAGCATAGAACCAAGAATGCATTCAACCAACTACCAGTGTAGTACTCTCATCCCATCACTATTACTAAAAAAAAAAAAATGATACATAACACATTACATAAACTTTATCCTTAGATAAAACTTTATCCTTAGAAGCTTCCTAGTGGCATGATTGTATACCACACGATCCAAGTTGGAAATGTATATCAGATAGAAATGTATCAAAGACAATTACATCTGGGAAGGAACAAGAATCTACTGGACTCTTGATGTTGTGGATTCCCTGATGATCAGCCTGCATACATGTGTTCAGTACAAAACCTTTACCCCTCCAGATATTGTGAGACAGCAACATCTGTCAGCACCTTGCAGATTTATGGTTTCTTTGAATCGGTGGCAGTCTTCTAGTGCACTTCAATTTGTTTTGTGTCCTAGAGCAGTCAAAATAATCTTGCTTTGAGACATTGTAGGAATTTTCAAGTAATGGATTATAGTTATTTATTGAAGTGCTGGTCAGAAAGGGCTCAGGCAACAGAACGCCTCAGAAATGCTATATGTATTTATTCCCAATCTTTTCCAATATGTGCATTTGTTGTATATGTTACCATAATCTGGTATAGCAGTCATGAATGTATATCTTGCAGTTACACACCCATGCCTGATTTGTATTTTTGATATCTATATAGCCCCTAGTTGTGGGGACAGTTAGAGGCCTTGGTGATCACCAGTTTACACTTACTGGAGGAAAGCAGCCTCTGCAGTAAATAGTTATCTGTTCTTCTGTCAGTCAAGAAGCAGCCAGCCCTCATTCAAGTGATATCTGGTGCAAGAGGGAGTTGTGACAGGGGTACTATTTCTTCTGGTCATAATGGATGTAATTGTAGGAATGGGAATATTTGTCTGCTGCTTCCACAGTAACACAGACTCATGTCGATCAGAGCAACTGCTGACTGATGAAAAAGATTAGGCAACCAGGCCAGAATTCACTTCTTAACAACACAGTTCTGTATACAGTGTATATACTATATGATTGCAGGCAATGTTTATCCAATATTATTCAGTAAAACACTCTAAACAAATAATGGCAGATAACTGTTGACATAGGTGGGGGAAATTATATTCTCTTGTCCCTTATCACCGTGATCAAAGCATACTGTCTTTTAAAAGTTTCTTTTAAATATTTTCTTTCTCCACTGTTTAACGTAAGGAAGTTTGCTCCTGTGGGATTCCAAAGTCTTTTGAAATCCTGCTTGTGTGTAAGCACTTTATATATACCTTGAGGGATTGCTATGAAAATGTGCAGGCTTAAAATGATTTCATTCTGGCAGAAGGAATGAATGTAGAGTTGAACACAGGGTCACCTTGGCTGCAAAGAAGGTAAGTGTGCAGCTTCTGGGGTTCTTGATAGGTTAGTAAGGGAGCCTAGAAAACCCCAACTTAAGCATGATCTGTATTTGTCTATAAAATTAATTATTCTAGTGTATATATGACTGCTTATCAAATAATGCCAGGCACAGGAAGTCAACTAATAGTCCAAAATACTATTTTTAATTCATTCATTCATGTTGTTATTGTGCTACTGTTCTTGTTAGTAACAGCGGTATTTTAAATAGAGTATTTTAATTGCTAGGAAAAGATGATTATCCTCAGTATGATGGAAGGCAAAAGGGAAAGGAGACAGGTGGGCTGATTCAATCAAGGAAGTTTTGGCCCAGACATTGCAAGACCAGAGCAGGACAGTTGATGTTTGGGGATCTCAGAGGTCTTTCACCCCTAGAGTCAATGTTGACTTGATGATAAATGGCAACAACAAACCTGCCAGATATTTTTACCATTTTGGCTTAGGTATCAAAATAATACAAATCTTACATGTCGCAGTGCTGGCTGCTGACTTCTAGTATAGTTCAGTGGTTGTCAACCACTGGGTCTCCAGATGTCTTGGCCTTCAACTCTCAGAAATCTTAATAGATGGTAAACTGGCTGGGATTTCTGGAAGTTGTGGGCCAAAACACCTGGGGACCCACAGGTTGACAACCACTGCTCTAGATGAAAAATGAGCTGTCTAAGGTGCTGAATGTTGACCCAACATGGATTCTACACTTTAGGTAACTTTTAAAAACTTCACACTAAAACCCAGACCAGATTCACTGCACAAGTGCCATAAGAGCTCCTGCACCCACCCAGCTGCCTTAGCCACACCTTCACTGAGTCACATTATATGATAATCTGCTTCAACTGATTTTGATGAAACCTTCTGTCAACCACATCACCTCTCTTTCTAGTTCCACCCTTTTTAGAGCCTTGAGAAGCAAATTTAAGGCAAGGAAGTCAGCAAAGTCCACTCTGTTAGTACAAGAGTATAATTCAAAATAACTTCAGAGGAGGAAAGTGAAAGATAATGAACAGGTAACAGGGGAAAACATTTGGTTGCATATGCCGTGCAAATTTGTAGGAGTTAGATGTTGAAAATTTCAGAAAAACTTACATAGCCAAAGGAACATTTGGGGACAATCAAGAGAGATGCCTTCCATTGATTGTTGACACACTATAGCTTCTGGATTTGCTCTTCAGTTTCCAACATGAGCAGGTAAGGTGGGCTGATTTTATGATCATGAAGTTTGTTTTAAAGATAGGTGTGTAATGGAAATAATGTATTACTGTTCTTTAAGGAAAGGAAGCAGATTTTGAAATAGAGGTTGATATCTATTTTACATGCATGTTGTTGCTTTCTTTGAGGTTTGGTGTGGCAAGTAAAAATAATCCAAAACAGGCATCTAAGCCAAACTTTTGCATGGACCTTGATGCCAAAAGTATTCTTGTAAGGGAATTAAATTGTCAACACCACAGTCCTGTGGATCAAAGGAGGTGGTGCCATTTCTGAGCCTTTAGAAAATAGACAGTGGAATTTTATCTTTGTCCAACAATTCCCCCATATCATTGTGGTACTTCTTGATGCAGTTGGAAAGACAGGAAGCAGAACCAATCACATATGAAATGAAGATCAAGAAATATTATTTCAATAATCCCTCACTAGAAATGATCCTGTAACAAGGAGATCCCAACTTAGGAAGAAACTTGCTGATCACCAAGGTATGTGCATCATCTATTCTACTTGTATAAATTTTGTTTTAATTCCAAGTAGAAACATACAATTGGAAGAACAAAGGAGCTTTGTATAGTGGCAGGAGAATTATTTCATTTCCAAATCTTTACTATGACCAGCTAGATTGTGTGTGTGTGTGTGAGAGAGAGAGAGAGAGAGGAGTGAGTTTGCCGTGTCAGGAGCGACTTGAGAAACTGCAAGTCACTTCTGGTGTGAGAGAATTGGCTGTCTGCAAGGATGTTGTAAAACTGCAAGTTGCTTCTGGTATGAAAGAATTAGTTGTCTACAAGGACATTGCCCAGGGGACGCCCAGATGTTTTGATGTCTGATGTTGGTAAACACCAGCTAGATGATAAGTCCACATGGATTCTTCTCCTGTTTGTTCCCAATACTTGATATTCAGGTGCTGTGTTGACTTATTCTTCAGGAATTTATCTAATTTTCTTTCTAAGCCATTGTTATATATCAGATACTCAATTGTCCATGGCAGAGTGGCAAGTTTTTGTGAGTCTGAGCTCAATCTTCCCCAGGATCATCTGACAGACTGTGAAAGAATGACACCCCCAAATGATAAAAGTAGACAGAAGCCAATTTCTGGTATTTTTGTAATTTATTATTAAACAATGTAGGGGGGTGGGTCTGTGGGGTTTTTTTTTTTAAGATAAAGCATGGCTTCTCAATGTTTCAAGGGTGGCAAATCACCACTTTTTTCTTATCAGAAAATGAAGGTTTAAAAGAGTTTGAAAGATGTCAGGAGCTGCAAGCCCAGACTTAGAATATTTCAAGTAGTCCTGGATTACCCTTTGCCATCTGTACCCCAAGATAATGCATTTGGTGAAGAAATGCTGTGAGGCTATTATTTATTTATTTATTTACTTCACTTGTATACCGCTCTTCTCAGCCAACGGCGACTCAGAGCGGTTAACAACCAGTATCAACAATACAGTACAAAATCATTAGTCATTTAAAACAGCAATATCAATTAATTAACATCCTAAAATATCCTAACATACTGCATACCAAGTTCACTGTGTTAAGTTTGGATGTTCCCAAATAAAACCTGCTTATCTCTCTTATATGAATAGGAAGACCCATAGAGTAGAATGTCTAACATTGCTTTGATTCCTCACATTAGCACTGTGATGAGTCTATAGTATATTAGATTGCCAAAAATTATAAGTGCGACAATTCCTGTAAACAATAGTAAATACTATTTGGCATCACAATAGTGTAGGAGACACTGGTGGTGCAACGGGTTAAACCCTTGTGCTGGATGAGCTCCCTCTAGCAGCTCCAGCTCTCCATGGGGGACATGAGAGAAGCCTACCACAAGGATGATAAAACATCCAAACATCCCCTGGGCAATGTCCTTTCAGATAGCCAATTCTCTTACACCAGAAGCAACTTGCAGTTTCTCAAGTTGCTCCTGACACACATAAAAAAACCAATAGCGCAGAACAGAGGGAGATGGTCTGAAAAAGCATAGGCTCTCTCAGGTTAGTGGTCTTGAGTTATCTAACTCAGGTCACTACACTTTGGTTAGAGATAGCTACCAGTACCTATTGTACTTCATGCTTTCCACATGTCAGGAGAGAAAAGATCTTTATTTCTTGATGGCAGAATGAAGGTTTACTTTTTGTGGGGATAAATATATTCAAGTAATGGATGCCAAATCCATGAATATGGAGTGCCAACTTTAGTTGTGTTTTTTAAATTATATTATTTTTACTCCCAGACTATTTTAACCCATGGAGCTCATAAAGTCACGCTCAGAAGAGTCATGCTTCTGTTTTACATTATACAGAAACTGACAGAAAGAAGTAAATAGAAGCATAGTAGATATAGCTGACTATCAGAACACTGAGAATGCAAGAGAAGAGGGAATGCACTTGGGTGCATGCATTCTACTTTGAAACTTTAAGTTGCATGTTAGCTTCAGCAGCAGCATAGATCCCATGGGACAATGACAAAGAACAGATAAATATAAGGCAACAATCTGCCATTTTGTTCCTAAGACCCAACTAATTCCAAGGTAATGGGTTTTTTTTTTATGTCTGGAGCAATTTGAGAAACTGCAAGTCACTTCTCGTGTGAGAGAATTGGCCATCTGCAAGGATGTTGCCCAGGGGACTCCTGGATGTTTGAGATTTTACCATCCCTGTGGGAGGCTTCTCTCATGTCTCCACATGGGGAGCTGAAGCTGACAGAAGGAGCTCAACCCTCTCTTCCTGGATTCAAACCACTGACCTATCAGTCAGCAGCACTGCCAGTGCAATTATTGAACCCATTGCTCCATCGGATAATGGTGGTAATGGTAAAGCTAGAACTAATTGCAGCATTGGATGTCTTGTAATGGCCTATTCATATCATCTAAATGATGCATTTGTTAAGGCTGTGGCTAGAGTACAAAAAGAGGATTCTGAAATTCCCTAGTCTACACAATCCTTAATGGGATGGAAACCCTCTTCCTACATTTAGCAGGCAGCCCTAGGTGTGGCTCCTAACACATGCTAATTCTCAGTATATGTGAGACTGAGTATAGTAAGCCATTGCTTCAGTGTGTGTAACCACAGGATTATTGCAGGCAATTGAACATTGCTGTATGTTTTTCTACAGATGGATCTCCAGCAGGCCAGATACTGGGGAAACCAAAGCACTGTGAATGGATTTGTCTTGCTGGGGTATCATAAGTATCCTGCCCTGCTATTCACAGCTTTCCTTGCCATCTACCTTACTATTCTATTAGGAAATGGTCTGATTGTATTGGTGACCACCATGGACCCTGCCTTGCATACTCCCATGTACTTCTTCCTCCGCAGTCTATCTGGATTGGAAATGTGTTACACCTCAGTCACCCTTCCCAAGATGATGGCTAGTCTGGCCACTGGGGACCGCTTCATTTCCCTAACGGCCTGTGCATCCCAGATGTTCATCATGCTTTTCCTAGGTGGGGCTGAGTGCTTCCTGCTGGCAGCCATGGCCTATGATCGCTATCTCGCCATCTGCTTGCCACTGCGCTATATGACCATCATGAACCAAAGAATGCGGGTAGGATTGGTAGTAGGTTCATTTATCATCAGTTTCCCAATGCAGCTGGTGCAAATTGGGCTCATCTTCTCACTACCATTTTGTGAATCCAACGAGATGGACCACTTCTTCTGTGACATCCCACCTATTCTCAACCTAGCATGCGCGGACCTCTATGCTAATGAATTGACACTTTATTTTGAGGATACAACCTTTGTCTTGATTCCATTTGTGCTCATCCTGTCCTCCTATGTATACATCACAAGGGCTATACTGCGCATGCGTTCTGCTACAGGCCGCCAGAAGGCTTTTTCTACTTGTTCCTCTCATGTGGCTGTGGTGAGTCTTTTCTATGGCTCTGCATTATTTACATATGTGCTTCCCAAGACTCCTGACTTCATGAAAATTGACAAATTGCTATCTCTGTTCTACACAATTATCATTCCTCTTTGCAACCCCCTTATCTACACTCTGAGGAACAAGGAGGTGAAAGCTGCCCTGAAGAGACTGTTTAATAATAAGAGAGCTCTTGAAGTAAGCATGGCTGAGACCATTGGTTAAAGCTTACGCATGGTTCCACTCTGTCTCCAAACCCCAAGGCCCTGGTCATTAATTATACCACTCAAAACTGTGGCCATGTTTTTTATTTAATCAGTCCATCTTTGGTGCAGTCTTTTCCTAATGGAACATACAACTAGCTCTCAATAAGGGCAGTTACAATTTAAAACCTTTGATCATCTAGGCCTAAATGGCCCACTATGATCCAAAATGGATAGTGAGAAATGACATACAGCATTACATCTCCACCTGCATTCCAAGTGTTCCAGTACTGAATGTGAGTTTTGGAATCATATCCAATATTAGTCAGATATTGAGCAAGTAAAACATTGAAAGAACCACAGCTTGTTGAGTCCCATCAGAGAGGAAAGTAGGATATAAATAATGTATTATTTATACCCCACTTTCCTCCCTGAGGTGACTCAACATGCTATGGTTCTTTCAGTAATTGATAACTAAATCAATTGAATGAATGGAGTGGGAAGGCCAAAATAAGTCTCTGTTACTCATACCTTCTCATCATTTGCAAGAGAATGTCCAATGTGGTCTTGGGTGAGCCCTCTTCCTCTTTACTTGCTTATGCCTGCAAAAGGGCTTCATACACTTCTTCATATTCTTTCTGTCTGCAACAGAAGGCTTTCTGTTAGCCATATCAACCCAAAACTTGGGTTGTTGTAAGTTTTCTGGACTGTAGGGCCATGTTCTAGAAGCATTTTCTCCTGACATTTCACCCACATCTATGGCAGGGATCCTCAGAGGTTATGAGGTCTGTTGGAAACTAGATAAGTAAGGTTTATATATCTGTGGAATATCCAGGCTGGGAGAAAGAACTCTTGTCTGTTTGAGGCAAGTGTGAATGCCTAGTTTCCAACACACCTCACAACCTCTGAGGACACCTGCCATAGATGTGGGCGAAACATCAAGAGATAATACTTCTGGAACAGCCCGGGAAACTCACAGCAACCCAGTTATCCCAGCCATGAAAGCCTTTGACAACCCAAAACTTATTTCTGACCACAGGATGGCAACCATGAGCCCATTTGTGTAACTGGAGCTAGCCATTTGCTGAATCTCCCATTACTAGAAACTGAACTTTCTATAGATCAGATTGATCACATCTTCTGTGGCATCCCACCAGTACTAAACTTTGTGTATGTTGCCATCTTGTCCACCAGTGAGTTGGCTGCATAAATAGAGTGCATTCTCGGTGATTCTGTCAATGCTCCATTTGTTTTACATTTTTCTTCCACTTCACAGAAACAGAAAGTTGAAAGCTAACCTCAGAAAAGTACTGAATAGAAAACAATCCTGTAAGTTGCATAGATGAGCTAAAGCCACCAAATGAGGCAACTAACTGCCTTGCCTTCATGTGTTATATTATTTAATTGCTCCTTTCTCCAAAACTTAATTTTTATGTACAGAGAGTCCAGCAGTGCCTTGACAAAGTTTTATTGTGGTTACCATAAAGCACCATAGGAAGGAGCAATCGCTTTCAGGAAGAAGAGACTTTTCTGCATCACATATTAGGGACTCCTCAAGGCTGCTGGGCCAAAGCAGATTTGCGGTTGATTATAACAAAGCAATGACATAAGATAACAGAAATTGTATTCCATAATTAATTAGTGCAGTAGGTATTTGCAGCAGAGGAAGCTCATCACACACTCACACTTATGACTTTATAGCCAAGGATCATCAACTGTGATCAGGAATACCCTAGAAGCCACTAAGACCTCACATCCCAGCCATGTGCACACCTTCCATAGTATGGGATGGCATCCCAAAGGATCGGCCTATGACCTGAATTTCTATATCTAACCCTGTCTTTCAAAGGACTTGGAAGCCCCTAGGAGGAATACACAAAATGAGCTGGAGAGAGCTGCTATATCAAAGAACATCATTTCTGTAGTAAAGAAAGGAACAAGGCCCCCTTTTCTCATTCCCAAGGAATGTTGACATGCATGCAGAATAGAAAGTTTATTTACACCGATGCTTCTTTGCTGACTGACCCTAAGTGAAGATGGGAAATAGTGCAAAAAGGAATATTTATTTGAATTATACTGCAAAATACTAAATGGTAGCATCCATTCCACTGACTTTCATGAGATTTTGATTTTTTTTAAATTGAAGAACAAAACACTTTAATAAACAGAATGCTTAATACTGATGGATAACAGTTTTCTTTCCTGTATCTTTAAAAACATCAACTATCACATAGATATTAGTGTGTTCTTGTTATGTGTGCTAGCAAGCTTTCAGGCCAAGGAATCGGCATGCCATGTTCCTCCATCCCTAAGACCTAGCACAGTCCATCCAACTGAACTTCATGGCCTTGGGGTCTGCATAGCTGACCTCCAAGGGGACTTTCAACCTAGCTGGCCTTCAGTTAGATCAGTGGTTCTCAACCTGGGGTCCCCAGATGTTTTTGGCCTTCAACTCCCAGAAATCCCAACAGCTGGTAAACTGGCTGGGATTTCTGGGAGTTTTAGGCCAAAAACATCTGGGGACTCCAGGTTGAGAACCACTGAGTTAGATCTTTCCCATGGTAGCCAACTCAATCTCTCCCTCTTAGCTATGAGCCTCTTCTCAGTTGACTGTCCAGTCTGTCTTATTGAGCTTCTGGGTCAATCATTAAGTATGGTCTACACTCCCCCCATATTAGTCAGTGCGGCAGAAATGGCCAACAGCAGTTGCATCTCTTTTCTTGGTGGATGCTTTTGTGCATTGGAATGGACAGGGATTGTAGGCCCAGGAACAGCAATAACATGGTACCCAAAAAGGGTGATAAAAGTCTAGAAGCAATGTTCCACCAAGACAAAGTATGACACAGCCTGCATATTCACATCATCCATCAGGCATATGCTGATTTTGCAGGGCTTCTTTACAACAAAGCCTTATATATGTGAGGTGGGACCAGTATCAATCCCAATTGATGCAACTAATGATGCCAATAGCCTCAAAAGGCAAGACACCACATCAGAGAGATAATCCATTAAAGTCTTACACAGATCATTGCACCATATTCATCACCTGTCCTTCTCCAGAGGAGAATCAGTCTACAACACCTGTGAACTACATATTAAAACATCATTTGTTGCTGCAGTATACATGGTGAAGATTTGGTAGATTGTTGAGTGAGCTAGCAGAATGCGATATCAAAATACCTTCCTCTGAAATCTAGCCTACACTAGCTAGTATTCCTTATCAGCCTCCCATCAAGGGTTAACTCTGTGGAGCATCCAAGATCATACAGGATCTTGTGCCTTTGTGGCCATTAGACCTAATAAACGCTGTTTTATCATTCAGTAATTGATTCAATACGGAATAACATTTTGTAAAAAAAAGGTGAAACATCCAAAGGCACATTGAAAGACAGTCAAGAGAAATACTATCTGTTGGTCAATGGAGGAGCAAGGCTTTTAGATTTATTCTTCAGCTGAACTCGGCAAGGAGAAGGTAAAATGAGTTTATTCTGGTTAAATGTATTTGAATGCATGAAAATAACAGTTTCTTGAATTTATGCTACTACTGCTAATGGAAGCAGGATGGTGGAGGAGAAGACGATAATGCTGAAGATGATGGTGATTGTTAAAGGATAGATAACAAAGCAATGCTAAACCCAGATATGTTGGTTTCTTATGAGTTCAATTTGACAAGCAAAAATGTGATCTCTTCCAATTCTAAGATTTTATTATTCTATGTTAGAAGCAGGTATATGGCCCATGATAATCATATTGTCTAATCTTCCATGGATCTTATGTGTACAAATATTTCCGCTAAATATGAGGGATCAAAATAACACATCTGCTGATCCATGCAGATGGTGTCCATTTAAATTAACTCCTTTTCTTTCTACAAACTTCCTTGTCATACATACAAAGATAGAAATCCAAAAGCAGTACCAATTATAGATGGAAATTAAAAACAGGTAGCTTTTGGAAGGTATCCTAGAAATCACCAATTCTTTTGTGGGATGACCCATGTTTAGAATAAATGGCTCAGTTGAGGCATGCATCAGATCTATTCTATTTTCATTTTAGAAGAGAAAAGTAGAATTAGAAGGGTAGAAGAGCTTTGTGGATGGGAAGGAGAGGAACTGGCATTCCTATCTTTAGATAATGCTTCTTGGCAGGGGGTTGGACTGGATGGCCAACGAGGTCTCTTCAAACTCTATGATTCTATTGCCTTCAGTGGAAAGGAAAACAGAAGATCCACATAATTCAAGGTATGAATACAACAGTCTTTTTTTGTTAACTTTCTCCAACATATGGTATTTAGATACTGGGCATGTATCTTCCTTGATAACTGATTGTGGGGAAGACTGTGTCTGTTTGTCCTGAGTCTGTGCCAATAAATTTCAAGGAATAGAATGAAGTGTGAGCTTTATGAACAAAAAGCTTCCCCTTTATCACAATCTATATAAGARGAAAGATGGTATTTTTCCAGATTTATCTTATTTTTCGGTACTGTTCCATGTTCCATTATCTGGGCAGAAGGTACAAGGGTGCAGTAGACAGAGAAGGATAGTCCATTTTACGAGGGGAAGGGGGGGGGGGTTGAAGAAGTTTCCCCCAGTTTTCCTTTTATTCCCCCCACCCATATTGCCATCATCGAAAGAACCATCATTTATGATATGGGAAAAAGGGAGAGGGGAATAACCAGCAAAAATAGTGGAAATTGTTTTCTGCCTTCAACTCCTCCCCACCATGAAATGGAGTGTCCTTCTCTGTTTAGGCACATTTTGGAGCCCCCCCCCCCAAAAAAAAAAAACCCGGATAATGGAACAGTACCTATTTTGGTGCTGCCAGACACAAGATTCATTGTGGGGAAAAACAAGGCATAAAGTCTAGCATTAATGGTTTGTTAGGTCACAAAAATAATGATTAATATATAATGCAATATGCTTCAGATTAGCCCTCTTATCACTTTGGAGCTTTAACATGGGCAGCCCCATTCATCTGGTGCGAGCAGAATTCTGGGAAATGTAGTTTCATAGAATCATAGAATCAAAGAGTTGGAAGAGACCTCATGGACCATCCAGTCCAACCCCCCTGCCAAGAAGCAGGAATATTGCATTCAAATCACCCCTGAAGATGGCCATCCAGCCTCTGTTTAAAAGCTTCCAAAGAAGGAGCCTCCACCTGGGGCCTTTTGACTACTCTGCTACAGAGGTCCTCACTTTCCCAAACTACATTTCCCAGAACACTGTTCATGCCAGAAGAGTGGGGCTGCCTGTTTTACAGCCCCAGTGTTATAAGGCTGTCAGACTGAAGTTGAATATTAGTATATTGACCTAAACGTATGGGTTTTAATCTTACTAAAAGGTCTCATGGAGGTAAATCAATATCTGCTGAAGTACCCACCCCAACCCATAATTCTACAGTTTATTTTAACGATTTGATTTTAAAGTAGATACAACTGATTTCAATGTCTGTGTATATTTATAGTTTGTTTCATTCCAGCATTGAATGTTTGCTGTATGTTTGCTGTGCTCCGCCCTGGCTCCCCTTTACGGTGAGAAGGGCAGAATAGAAATGCTTTAAATAAATAAATAGGTTAATAAGTAAAATGGAGTTATGTGTGAGTAAGCACCACTATCGTGCTTAGAACTCATTAGCAAGCAGCTAGCCATAACAAGTATTAAGGGCATGGCACATACTGGCTTCATATTCATAGCATTGTAAAGCTTGAATGAACACGCTAAGCCCTTAACTCTATATGCTAAAGCATGGGTGGGAATGAGGTGGTTCTCTAAGTGTTCAACAGCAACTTCCATTATTCCTCTTTAGAGTCTATTCCAGTTAAGAAGAGTGCTGGAGAGCCAGCATTGTGTAGCGGATTGAACATTGGATTACTGCTCTGGAGACCAGGATTCAGTTCTTTGCTTGAACACAGGTGTCACAAGGTGACCCTGAGTGAGTAGCATACTATCAGATCCACAAAATCCAATTATAGGATTGCATTAGGATCATCATGCCAGAAATGACTAGAAGCCACACACGAATATCTAATTATCTATGTTTTTCACTCTGTTCTTTCTGCAGATGGATCTTCAACGCGACAGACACTGGAGAAACCAAAGCACTGTGAATGAGTTTGTCTTGCTGGGATATCATAATCATTCTGTCCTTCTATTCATAGCCTTCCTGGCAATCTATCTGACCATTCTACTAGGAAATGGTCTGATTGTGGTGGTGACCACCATAGATCCTGCCTTGCATACTCCCATGTATTTCTTCCTCCGCAGCCTCTCTGGACTAGAGATGTGCTATACTTCGGTCACACTTCCCAAGATGATGGCCAGTCTGGCCACTGGAGACCGCTCCATTTCTCTGCCAGCCTGTGCCTCTCAGATGTTCTTCCTGCTTTTCCTAGGTGGAACTGAGTGCCTCCTCCTGGCAACCATGGCCTATGACCGCTATCTCGCCATCTGCCTGCCTCTGCGCTATATGACCATCATGAACCAAAGGATGCAGGTAGGTCTGGTGGTTGGCTCATTTATCATCAGTCTTCCAATGCAGTTGGTGCAAATTGCACTCATCTTTTCCCTGCCATTCTGTGGACCCAATGAGATGGACCACTTCTTCTGTGACATCCCACCCATTTTGAGCCTAGCGTGTGCTGATCTCTATGCTAATGAGTTGACTATATATATAGAAGATACAACCTTTGTGTTGGTTCCATTTGTGGTCATCTTGGCTTCCTATGTATATATCACGAGGACTATACTGCACATGCCATCAGCTACAAGTCGTCAGAAGGCCTTTTCCACGTGTTCATCACATGTGACTGTAGTAAGTCTATTCTATGGCTCTGCAATGTTTTCATACATCCTCCCTAAGACTCCAGATTTCACGAAAGTTGGCAAGTTACTGTCGCTCTTCTACACCATCATCATTCCTCTCTGCAATCCTCTCATATACACTCTGAGGAACAAGGAGGTAAAATCTGCTTTGCAAAGGTTGCTGTACAATAAAAGAACTTCTGAAATGGGCATGGAGTCAAATTAAGAACGTAAGCTAGTTATCTCCTATGTTTTCATTCTGTCCGACATCTCTTGTATGCATTTCCTTAACTTTTGGTTTGTGAAAAGAAAATGCAGAAACCTTAATGATGATGGACAAAATGACATTACGAACCTGCTTGGAATGGCCAGTAATTATGATCCAAAATAGTGGCACTCATACTTACTCATAGATCCATCTTTTGGGTGTGAACCTCTTGTCATGTAGTCTAAACTTTGTAGGTAATTTACTCAACGTACTTACCTATAACCAGTGTCATTGTCTTTTCAGTTCCGTGATATTTTAGATTCTTTACCCATAGTAAGAAAAATAATCCTCCCAGTATTTACATTTTTGTATGGGGCCTGGGCCAGATTTCCTTCATAGAAAACTAGCAAGGTTGTGGTTTAAATGTTCGACTATGGCTCTGAAGACAAAGGTTCAAATCTCTGCTCAGCCATGGAAACCATCTAGATGATTTTGACAAATCACATTTTCTCAGTCTCCTGGCATTGAACTGCATTATGTGAGACTATACTGACCATATAATGCAGTTTCAAATTGTATTATAGGACAGTGTAGTCAGGCCCTTATCACACCATGTCTCTTAAGATGGGTTCTCATTGTCAAAAATATGAAAATAATTCTGCTCATAAGGGGGTGCTGTAGAGCAGTTGAACTAATGAGAATTAATTGGATTTGCTGGTTAGTCCCTTTTTACAAAGGAAATGAAAACTTGAGAGACCTAAAGTCAATAATTGTTCATGGCTGTTATAAAATTTCAGGACTGCTCCAGTAGAGAACAAGGGAAGGCAACAAACCACTCTTGAGTAATTAACTCAATGAGATCTGGCCTGGGTAACTGGTGGTGGCCACTAGATGTTTTGGACCTCAAAATTCAGATCAGTCCTGGACAACATAACTAATCATGAGGGATTATAAGCAGTCGATTTGTGCGTGGAATTTGTTTCTTCCGTTTTCTCAGTTTCTTTCGGTACTTCATGAGCTCATAATGGTAAGGGCCCTCCCAGTATGAAAAACCCACCCGACATGAAAGCAAGTGGGATCTGATCCTGGCTCCTCCCCTGCTGTTTGGCATCACAGTCCTGGGACTTCTGAGGGGCAGTCCAGATAGCCCTTTCACGTTTTCCAGGCTGATTAAGCTTGGAAAGCCCCAAGGACAGCAAACCCCTCCCCAAACCTCACCCCAAAAGCGTTTAAAACTAAAATAACTTACTGGGCCAGCATTTCCCTGCTGCTGGCCCACTCCTGGCATGTAGGAATAACAGACCTAGAGAAGGGAGAAGGAGGAAAATGCTTTTTCAGGGGTTTGGGGAGGGGTGTATCTGTCTCCCTGTCATGTGGACACCCTCCTAGAAAAGCATGTGCTTTTTGTGGGGAGGGGGTGGACTAGAACCTGGAAACATGCATTTTTAAAACCCGATTGCTCCCGGGATAAAGGGCTGTCTGGAACTGCCCTTAGATCTGTTTAGGATTGGAAGTTCCTTTCCATACTCCATTCCACTGTATTTTGAGTTGGTTCTGGATAAGCACCTACCTTTGTATTTTTAATTCTGCAGTGATTTTTTTCCTTTCCTTTTGTGATCTAGGATTCACCATTTTTCAGGCATAGCCATTGTTTGTCCATTTGTATTAAATCCCACCATTTTCCAGTGATCTTAAGGAAATATCCTTCCTCCCACAAAATCCCACAAATAGCCCTGTGAGGTAAGGCAGACAGGAAAAGTGCCTGGCCTATTGCTAAATTGCCCAAATCCCTCCAGCATCATATTAAAGTCTACAATAATGGTTCTTATTTCTAGTTGCATTAGACTTTACCATTTGTTCCACTTCTGATGTATTCTTCTTAGCCTTGCACTAACTCAATAAACACCTATCTCTCCCCTTCTGCATTGTGGCCAAGGGGCAGTAGACTCCTGGAATCCACTGTTTCATTTCTTTAAAAAAATGGAAAAGAAGTCAATTCTGCTGGGATCTGGTCAAGCGCTGGAATAAAAATTAAGCACCTGAATGTGTATTGTGAAAGAAAACATTTCACTTGAAGGAGTCCTAAAGCTTATTTTAACCCCTCCCCACATCACAACCACCACCTTTATTTAATGACTCTATAGTGGTAAGAAGACATAATGTCACAGAATTTTAAGGGGAAAGTCTGCTGTTTTATTGGAGAAATTAAAGTAAAATATGGCTACGTATGTGAAGAAATGTTCCCACATTCATGCAGGCATATATTTCTGGAAAGCAGGAAACCATGGGTAATGGTGAACCATAATGCTAAAAACTTCCATAGAGCCTGGTTGGAGACCAAAAATATTCCTAGAGAGGTATTCCTCTCTAGGAATTTTCTAGTCCCTCCAGTGAGACTCTATGGTAACTTACAGAGGACCTAGAAATTCCCTAGAGAGGATATATTTTGTCATATCCAGGGGGGTGTCATTCCTACTGTTACTGAGATCATACTGTATAGTGTAGTGTATGGTATATGTAATAAGTATCTATTGGAAGGAGTGATAGTATGGAACACTGGGGTGACTTCTGATTGGTCGAATGCCTTGAATGGGTTTTAAAAATAAATGTGTATGGAAGTTAAAGACACAAGTCTTTCAAAATTAGGAATATGAGTGAGATAATTCTTTAGCGTCCATCAAGATTTGGATGTGAAAAATAAGTAACTTTTAACTGTATTCTAGACATGGAGCTCTGGCGTGGGTGGTCCATAAGTGACTGAGCGAATAAACAGCAACAACAGACTTCTATTTCATGAACTGATTTTTATGTTAAACCATTGTGCCTCTGAGAACACCACCATAGTGTCACTGGGTTAAATGATTTCATCCATAAGGTGTCTGTGGAGGCAGCAGTGGCTTGAAGTTGGCAAAGTCCAGTGTTTGGGATTATAAGGCTCACATATCTGATGCCATAGTGGGTAGAGCTGGTGGAAGTCCTGACATTTAGTACCATAGTGGTGGACTAAGGTGAGTCCTTACAATTGGTGGCAGTGCTGGGATAGGTGGACAACCTGGATGGAAGTGGGAAGACTTTTTGAAATTTATAGCCTGCTATCTATTTGAGATGTAATTCCCAGAACAGATGAGATCATTGTAACAAACCAATGACACATGTGAATGTGCTCTTTGATATAGGAATAAGTCCCATTGCACTGAGTGGGGATATATAAAGCCATGCCATGGCTATAGGCATCACTTAATTTTTTTGGTGTGGTACAATGCTACATTGGCTGTGATGTTGAGCTTCTATTTTGATTGCACTTCCAACAGGTTTAGTACTAAACCTAAAGGGTTCAAGCGTGAAAAATACCCAGGAGAATGGGCAGAACTAGGAGGATGGCAGGGAGATGGACACCACTAGCTGAGTTCTTTTCCATTGTGCTCTGAATCCAGTCCATGTAGGAAGTGACTCGGGTGTAGACTCCAGGTCTGTTGGGCTCTGAACAGCTCAACCCAAAGCTCACCAGGCCAGCCAGGTACCAAGTATCGTTCTGCTTGCAAGCCAGGGGACCTCCAGAGTCACCCTAAAAAAAGGAAGAAGAAATCAGTGAGCATCAGTCTTCTGAAAAGGGAACAGATATAAGATATTACATGTTGACACTGAGTGATAGTGTCAATGTAATTTTTAGCGCCACGCTCTCACTTGTTCTAACTAAAAGCTATAGACTTTGACATTCTTCTCTGGTCAAAAGGAGAAAATGGTAGTGAAAGCAGTCGCACTGATAGGAATAGTATCAATCACTATTACTATTAATTAAAATTAATAATAATGCCATGAAAACCCACTGACTTGGGCATTTACACTTTCAAGCTCAGAAAACCCCATGATCACCTTAAGATCTCCATAAATCAGAAATTAAAGACACTCAACAACAACGGTTCTCAGTATCTATATTGCTGGAGATGGACAACTTGTGTTCCTTTAGATATTAGATTGGGCATTGAAGGTTTGCCTTTCATGTTTGGAATCCACCCTGAGTCCCACCGGGGTGATAGAGCAGAATATGAATAAAGTATTATTATTATTATTATTATTATTATTATTATTATTATTATTATTATTGACCTATAACTCCCAACAATCTCAATCAGCATAGCTACTAGTGATAAACCATGAGATTTTCAGTCTAGCAACCTATGTTCCCCACACCAATATTTAACTTGAGAACCATTTTCCCGTCCTACAGCTGTGATTCCCATCATCTCAATCCAACATGGTCAAATGTCACACTGGCTGGAGATAGTGATAATTGTAATCCAATGCATCTGGAGTGCACCAGGTTGGAAGCAGCTTGCTTTTTGAGAGCTAGAGCTTGTGTTATGGAATCATGGGTGTTATAGTTTGGTGAGGCACAATTCAGTAGAGAAACCTGAATCCAACAGCTCTATTTATTCTACAACATTGAGCCATTGTAGTTATTGTGGTGTTGAAACACATTAATTCTACAGTGTAGAGGCACCCTCAGTCAAGGAAGCCATAACTGGTAAATTTGGAGGCCTCTCATTCATAGGGCCATCATAAGTCAAAGACAACTAGATGACAAAGGACCTCATCACATTTGACCATTTCAGCATCTTAGGACGCTTCCAGGATGCTGGGAGGACAAAGCCTGCCAGATCCCATCAGATGACACACAGCTAACTTCCAGTGGGGCTCTGCCCTCCCCAGCATCCTCACAGCCTCCTACAGTGGAGCCCTGAGAACACAGGAGGCTTCCCATGTTCTCAAACGACAAATAGGAGAAAGTGTGGAGGGAAGCCGGGCAGCGACACTTCCCCCCTTGGGATGGGGGAGTGATGCAGGCAATGCAGGGTACAGTGACAGTTTCCTTCACTGCCCACCAGATATGCCCCACAGTTGCCCCCGCTTTCCCCCAGGTTGAGGATCTCCATCTACTGAGGTCCAAAGAATAACAACTATGTGTGCTCATCTCACAATATGGCAACGTTTACTATGAGTCACACAGCTTGATAGTTTATGAAAAATAGTATCTGTTTAACTATTGATTTAGCATTATCTATATCTATGAATAGGGCCACCTGGTGGTGCAATGGATTAAACTGCTGAGCAGCTGTATTTGCTGACCAAAAAGTTGGCGGTACAACTCCCACTGTTAGCTCCAGCTTCTGCCAACCTAGCAATTTGAAAACATGCAAATGTGAGTAGATCAATAAGTACGGCTTTTGCAGGAATGAAACAGTGCTCCATGCAGCCATGGATCTAGTGGGTTAAACCACTGAGCTGCTGTATTTGCTGACCAAAAGGTTGGCAGTTCAAATCTAGGGAGCAGGGTGAGCTCCCACTGTTAGCCCCAGCTTCTGCCAACCTAGCAGTTCAAAAACATGCAAATGTGAGTAGATCAGTAAGTACTGCTTATGTGGAAAGGTAACAGTGCTTCATGCAGCCATGGACCTAGGAGGTGTCTACTGACAACGCCGGCTCTTCGGCTCAGAGATGAGCACCACCCCTCAGAGTCAGACATGACTAAACTTAATGTCAGGGAAACCTTTACCTTTACTTATATCTATGAATAACAACAGGTTAACTGTGCATTGCCCAGCCTTCATTGAAGGCAATTCAAATGAAGCTGACACTGGACCCCAATCACAATTATGCACAGCTATCCATTTTTGCACACGTATATATAGTTACATAGATGCATTGTAGTTTTTACTGTTGATTTGCTGCTTCAAATCCATAATTCTTACCTGGCAGGAATCCTTTTTCCCTTCTGGAAACCCAGCACAGATCATATCATCATAGATCAGTTTGTAGCCCTCTGGGACAGTATCACTCTCACTTTCAGCATTGGAGTCATTGTGGTACATTTTGTCACAATTATCTACATCAAGGATTGGCACCTCCAACTCTTGCAGGGTTCGTGTAAGGAAGGGGGCTGGTACGAGAAAAGAGAGTCAGTGAGATTGAATGTGGACTCCATTGAACTAAACGCAAATTGAATATTCACCATTTAACCTTTAACCATCTCGACACGGTTCTTAAACCAGTTCGAGGCCAGTTTCTGGGGTTAACATACCTTCCTGACCTCAATCCTGTTCCAAATATGTCAATCTAATCATTCGCACAGCAAAACTGCTTTCTGCCAAACTGTTTCCAAACTGACCTAAGTGGCCAGTGTAGATGAACCCTAAGGACAAAGTTGCAAGCTCATACTTACCCTCTGGATAGAGGCTTCCCCAACCAGTGACCCAACATGACATCCCAACAGGGAAGGGTTCCGGATCTTTTGTAGAGGGTAAGCAAATGGGCAGAACGGTGCGGGTGAAACTGACCGGCGTTTTTAATCGAACCAGTGCAATATCCCCACTGAGTCCATCTCCTGCATAATAGGGGTGCACTATGATCTGAGCAATTTCTGAGGAGACCATGGTGTCTGCAGGTTTGGGCAGCTCATATTCTCCCAGGTTTATCCGGTACATAAATCGATTCAATGGCCTATGAAGTTAAGGAAATATCAATGTCTCTTACTGTAGGAATGTATGGATTTAAATCCCTGTTCTAAAAGCAAATGGGAAGACATTCTTGCTCAAGCTCATCTGACTCACAGAGTTGTTGTAAATCTCAGGATGGATTAAAGGGTGAAGCATTTTATACACTGAACAATTATACTGCTAGCTTGATATACATTGCATTGATTTCAATTAGATTTATAAACATACTAGCCACCCCCTGCCACACGTTGCTGTGGCCCAGTCTGTGTATATGTGTTTTGTGTATGTATATGTGTATATATATATTTGTGTAGATGTGTATATATGTGTGTTTGCATGTGTGTGTGTGTGTGTGGTTTTGTGCATGCGTTGTAATGTATTTATCTATTTATTGTCTTTTAAAGTCTCTTCTGCTGTGTTTTTCAGTGTTTTTATGAGTGATAGTCACTTGGTGGCCTGATAGGTGTTTTGTGTCCAAATCTAGCATCAATTCGTCCAGTGGTTTTTGAGTTCTGTTAATCCCACAAACGAACATTACATTTTTATTTATATAGATTTAGAAATTATGAACTGTAATAACATGGTCCATAGTATGTACCAATTTTCCAAAAATGAACACAAAGTTTAATATTTGTACAGTGGTTTTAGACTGCAATCCTTTACTCCCTTATCTGGCAATAAAGGAGTGTCTAAAATGGTAGAAATCATGCAGTATGTCCATTTTAACAGGCATGATTCCATGCTATGGAATCTTAACAGTTATAGTTTGGCAAGACATCAGTATTCCTTGGCTGAGATAGCTAAAAAACTTGTAAAACTGGACTTCCCATGATCCCATAACATTGAGTTGTGGCTTCTAAAGTGATGTCAAAATGCATCACTTTAGAGGAGGAGGAGAAAATAGTTGAAGTTGCCCCCTTGCTGAATTGCTCTTAAATTATGATGAATTGCCCCATACTGCTTTCTCTCTACTTCCACGCTCTGGTGCATTTGAGGTGAGCAGCATCTTACCATGGTGTTCATTTTACTCACCCATCAAAGCAATGAGCTGCTGTCACCACCCAGTGGGGTGAGATGAGGCTTCCACCGCACACATGTCGCCTATGTTGTCGGATACTGACCTGCCAGGGCCATTCCCCTTCTTCGGCCTTCTGCCCTCCAACAATCCGGAGGGAGCGCACTTTAGGTTGGCCACAGACTTCAAAAGAACCAGAAAAGGGCAGAGGTAGGTTAGCAAGTATGAGCATGTTCACATTATTCAGCAGTGCGAGCATGTATATTGCCATATTATAAGAAACGCAAACTACACATACTGTTGTAATTAACTTCTTTTTATCTTTGAAAGACAGGTACCTTCCAGGGCCTTCTCTGTTGTAAAGTATGGTGCTTTTTATTGAAGTCTCAAAAGCTGTGGAATTGGAGTCCTGGAGTCAGAAATAATTCTGGATGAGTGGGAATTGAGTCAGAGTCAATAGAAACATTCTCACTCCAACTCCAGCTTCAAAGTATATACAGGCTGAGTGTCTCTTATCTCAAACAGAGGTGTTTTGACTTTTTGAGTTTGGAGGATTTGGGGATATCTGTATGTATGGGATGTATGTTATGTTTCATATACACCTTGTACACACTACCTGAAGGTTCGTTTTAGACACAGTAATACTGTTGAGCATGAAACGAAGTTTCTATTCACTTTAGAATAGGTTATTAAAACATTCATTTGAAAAATAACATTAAATATAATGTCATATTTCCAGAAACAGGGGTAATTAAGTAGATATATGAGGAACATGGAGGGCTAAATAGAGAAACAAAGGAAAAGATGCAGTTAGAGTTGGTGTTAGAGTTGGTGGACACATATGGGGAGAAAGGAGTACTGGATTAATATACGGAAGACCTCAGCCGCTTGTCTGAGCAATACCAAGTAGTTATACTTAGGTAATCTCCCTTAGGGAGGTAATGCATAAAGCAGGTTGCTTTAAAAGAAAAACCAAAGATAGGCAAAGCGGGAGTTAGAGCAAAGATACACAAAAAATGACACAGGCAGGGTCTCAAAGCTTTATCTTGACTACTGATCAAACAGCCACCCGATCTAAAAAGCATGCATGGAAATAACACTCAGAAACACCAGAATAATGTAACAAAGGATAGTTTACACCTGAAACTTGCATGAAGGGAAATCATACAAGCAAATCCTAGGTTGCAGGTATAAATCCAAATACAGCAAGAAAAATGCATGAGGCCTAAAGTGAGTAAGGAGGCCCCACGTAGCATGCAAACTACATTCCTCAAAAAGGTGGATCCATGCAAAAGCAGGACCACGAAGAGCAACAGGAAGCCAAAAAGACCATCGGATGGAGCGGACGTGGACAAAAGACATAGCATTGCCTCTTCCTTTTATAGGTTTGTGGGATCAAAGAGCATGTCTATGTGCCTTGCCACTCCTATTCAATGGCGAAAGTTCCTCCAAACCTCAACATGCAAAGTTTATGAGGGCAATAAACTTGACAAGCACTCTAGTGATCCTGCACAGGAACATGCAAGGACCTAACCATTTCAGTGTGTGCATGCCAGATTGCTAGTTCATCCAACAAGGCGTATATGAAAGAAATAATGGATAAAGGGACTAGTGAGACACACCTAAATGTGTATCAAGAAAAATATGGTAGAAATTAATATAATGATGGACAGATGGGTTGAGATGCTAAATAAATCATGATGCATTATATTCTATGAGCTGCAGTCCAAAATTCACTTTTCCTAGCTCCGTGTGTTCAGTTAGCCTGGCAGCAGTATTTGACCATTGCCTGTATACAATAGGTAGGAACCACTTGGTAAGAACCAGTGTTACTATTGCTGCACATCAATGATAGAATAATTTTCCATTGGGAACCCACTATAGTCAGAAGCTGAACATCTTCCAGATATCTTTGAAGGCATGTTTGGTTGGTTTGATCCGATCAAGTCTTTCATGTTTCCTATTTCTCTTCAAATGTTTACAAACACTGACACAACTGAAAGTCTGAAGAGTGGGGCGCGTCAGGAGTGGAGATTATTAAATCAAAACCAATTATACACAACTAGTGGTTATTGTGGATAGAGAGGAATGGAGAAGGTGTGGGGGTGGATGGGGTGGATCAAATAACAACGGAGTAGTAAATGCAGAGAGAGAGAGGCGAATATATATTAGGTTGTAAACAATTACGGGTAAATGAAGGACATGGTATTAATGAGCAAAGATTGGTATTTATGAGCAATGAGAAAACACGGATACACTGAGTTTTTCCATTCAGAAATATCTTGGGCTCTCAGGTCAGCTCATTCCATGAACCTAATATCTACAAGTAACTGTTTTGATTTTCCTCCTTTCTATATGACAGAGGAGATTAATAAAAATATTAGTTAACTAGCACATGGAAGTGAAACTCCCTCTGGGTCTTTTGATTATTTTTCCTCTTGAATGTTCTTTCTCCTCTGATTGTGACCTTTCAATGCAGCGTAGCACATGCAAATATGCTCATCATTAAATGAAGAGATTGGTTGTAACACCTGGAGAAAAACGTATTTTCTCATAAGTGAAACAGAGAGATACTGGGTTGGGGGAAGTAAATTCTGTTCTAACTTCCAGCAGATACTCGCTATATAGACTGGTCATTATAAACATTGTCAGCCCTCCATATTTACTGGCACAGGAGCCCCTCAACACTGAAAAAAATGTAAATAAAATTTGTTACAATTTAAATCTGAATGAATATAATTCTAGGCATCTCTAGGTCCTCTGGCATGGCTCTATATCAACTTCCACCAGAGCTAACCATAGAATTATACTAGAGGATCTAGCTTATCCTAGAGAAGCTTTCTTTCTATGAATTTGTATAGCATGGCTCTCTGATCAACTTCTGTCATAAAATTGACTGCAGAGTTGCCTTTCATGACTAGAGATTCTTAGAGATAAGATTTTCACCCAATTTGTGAATAATCAAATCCACAAAAGTTCAAATCTGCAAATGCAGAGGGCAAATCTATATAAATAAAAATATAATGATCGTTTGTGGGATTAACAGAACTCAAAAACCACTGGGGGAATTGACACCAAAAGGGGGAAGGAAGGAAAGTTAGAGAAGGAAGGAAGGAGAGAAGGAAAGAAAAAGGGGAAAGCAGGAAGGAAAGAGGGAGCGAAGGAAGGGGGAAGATGTAGAGAAAGAGGGAGGGAAGGAAAGAAGGAAAGAGAGAAGGAAGAAAAGAGAGACAGCAGAAAAGAAAGAAAAATGATTACAGAGTTGTTCCTGCCACATCATGACAGTTGACACGTGTGCTATAAGGATAATTTTGCTAATTTTATGGTTTCCTCAGAGGTCATACCAAAAGGAGTTGACAATCACAAAATCAACTCAGTGAAACAACACCGGATGTGAAATGAATTTAAATTAAACATGGAAGGAATCTATTGCAGTAAACAGGAAAGGAATGTATTTGTTTGTGATTAGTTGCAGCATAAACTGCTTTTCTGTCCCCACCCCTATTGCATGTGGAGTCCATTTCCACCACATTGCGCCATTTGTGAGTAGGTGCAGCTTCTTACCTTTTGGAGCAGGAGTATTCTCAATACCTGTGAATTGAAAAACAGGATGTGAAATCAGAATGGGGACTTTTGAGGCAGAGAGAGAACAGAAACTGTGGCTTTTGTACTCTTCCTGCCTTGCAAAAAGCAAAAAGAAAAAAAGACAAGCCTGTATACTAAGTTAATGCTGGAACTTTGGAAAACGTGAAATATGTGGAGCAGGGCAAGTCAAGCCAGGCCAACTAAAGTCACGGAGGCATTTCAAAAAGATTTGTTATCCACTTCTGCAATGGATCTGCCTCTCAAGCATGATAACCAAATCTCCCTAGCAATGCATGACAAGCATGGGAACAAAGCAGTAATTCAAACTTCCCGTGGGGCCCAAGAGGCACAAACTGTTTCAGTCCAGGTGAAAATATGCCATGTGCTAATGGTATGATAGAAGAAATTCTCAAAAGGTTCAGTATTTAACAGCAACAGGAGAAATCAAAATTATCCCACATTCTAAACTTTTCTCTTTATACTCCCTTCCTCTTTTCTCTTTCATTTATACCCACAAATACGTCTACGTTTCCAGACATGGATTGCTGCAGGTGTTGTGGCCAGACCTTTGGTCATGTACTATCTCTACATCAGGCAGAAAATAAATGAGTTCAATCTTTCCTCTAATGGGCCCCTCCACAGCGGAGGAAATGCTAGATTGGCTGAATTTTTGCTGACATCCCCGGAGCAGAAAAAAGGCTGCACCTGTTGAAATACAGGCCACACAGGTATCATAGACCTGTTGTGGGAATAAACTGGTCCTGAGAGGTGCAAATGTAGTTTATACATCCAATTCTCAGACCGCCCTGCTCTAACCCACTAGAACAGGCATGGGCAAACTTTTTTGTCATGGGGCCACATTGTGGGCCTACCCGGGAAGGTTGGGCCAGAAGGAAGGGGGGGTCAAGCACATGCTGGGTGGGGTAGGCCTGGAAGGGGGGGAAGGATGGGACAAGGAGGAGTCATCCTCAGGTTGTCTTCCCAGCATAAGGACGGGGCTGGTTGCCCTAACTGTATGTTGGGAGGAAGATGCAGTGACTGCCCCGATCCTCCTCGTCCTCCACTCCTGATCCTCGAGCTGTCCTCTTGGCAGTATGCCAGGAGGAGGGCAAGACAGGCAGTGCTTGAGAGTGCTCTGGAGGGCTCTCAGCCACTGTGTGCCTTCTTTGAGCCATTCTCCCAACATAAAGATGAGTCCGTTCATTCCATCCTTATCTTGGGAGGAGGTCGAGACACACGGTGGCCAGGAGTGCTCCAGAGGGCTTTCAGATGCTATGTGCCTTCTTCCCCCATCTTTTTTTGGCATAAGGACACAGTGGTCCGCCAAGTCCTTCTGCCAAGAGGGTAAGGAAAATGAGGAGGGCCTGAGGTAAGCACCCAGAGGGCCAGATCTGGCGCCTGGGTCTTAGTTTGCACATGCCTGCACTAAAAGAACTTCCATTCAATGCTATGTTTTCATAGTACAGAGAACACATGAGTCCTTTGTTACAACAGCTACACTGCTAATTTATGTTTCCACACCCAGTTCAAAGTGATGGTTGTAATCTATGAAGCCCTTTATGGCTCATGTCCAAGCTATATGATGGACCATATCCTCCCATATAAGTTACCCTGATCTGAAAGCCTGGATGATCTTCTCCAATCTAGAAGATGAGAGAGGGGAGTCTCAGAATGAGAATGCTGCCATGGAAATATTGGCATATGTATTTTCTCATTTGTTTGTCTTTAAATGGCATACTCTACTCCTAATAACATCAGCCCTATAACATCATTTGAACCCGCCAGCCCTGACTTCTCAAGGAGTCAATCCTGGGTCTCTAGTTTAGAACATGACTGAATTGACTGAACGGAATGGATTTATGGAACTCTGAACACTGAGAATGAGATTAGTTTACTGATTGTGTTATGTACTGATGATTTTAACCTGTTAATTGTTTAATTGCTGTTTTGTATGTATGTATATTTGACATAGGCATCGAATTGTGCCTTTTTGTAAGCCGCCCTGAGTCCCCCCTCGGGGGAGAGAAGGGCGGGGTAGAAGTAATCGAAATAAATAAATAAAATAGTTTAGAACCTGAAATCTCAGGGCTTAGGGTAGTTCTGAACTTAAGAAATTTCTTTGTATTGTTCAACAAAGTGTTTACATAACTCATACTATAATGAGTTTATTGTTAACTGCCTTGAATCTCCCTTTAAGACCTCATCACACTAGAGAATGAATCCACTTTAAATCTGGTTGCTGCCTCCTGTAAAAGTCTGGGGGTTGTAGTTTAGGGAGGAGCCTTTAACAGCCTCACTAAACTACAAATCCCAGAATTCTGCTGGAGGCAGAAACCAGATTTAAAGTGGATTCATTCTCTAGTGTGATGAAGTAGCATATCAGGGAAAAGATGGAATAAAAACAAAAGAAATAATAATAGTAGTAATATCACATTTTTCTTCAGCTTCAGCAGCATGTTATAGATCTAAGGGAAGGCGAAATTGACCAGCTAGGATCTTATGCTAACTCAGTGGACTGATACTGAGAAGTTATAGTTAGCACTGTCCATACAGAATGTACCCAAGACCTCTTTGCACAAGTGGGAAGAGTGACAGCAGCAAGAAACCATTATGGAGCACCCAAATCCTGACACAGAACAGCTTCATTCACACTACCTGTCCATTGTCCAACAAGAGGACACTATGCCATCACCCTTTCTCTGAGCTGATCAGTGCAGGGGAAGTGCAATGTGTGGCCATTGTCATTTCCCATTAGCCACAGTGGCTGGGTAACCAACAAGGAAGAGGAAGTTGATCCACCGATACTTGATGGTTGCACAAATGCTCCATCATGACATCACAGACATGACAAGCGAGAGCCAGGCACTAGTCTAGGACCAGTGGTAGTGACACAGAGGACAAGGTGATGGTCCAATGGGTCCAATGAAGTCTCAGACCATTCTAGAACATTGTGCTCCAAAGTGGCTATGGAGTGATCATGATGGTGACCAGTTGGATGCCAATGTGATGATGCAAGGGATTTGGACAGGTGCATCTGACTGCCTCCTGCTCTGCAACCAGTCTGAATCATAAAACTCCAGACTGGCCCCAGTTTTAGAGACCAGGGTTGATTTTCCCTGTTCAAGATATCCTTCTAATGCCAAAAACTATCTAAAGCTCCAAATATTTCTCAAAGTGAGGCACTGCAGAGGTAGATACATTTGTCTGTCAGATAGTCAGTGTCTGTTAGAAGGTGACACACACCAGGTTGTCACTGATAACACTAGAGGAACATTTTGCTTTGTCAAAATCAGATAGGATTTCCACTGTGTCAACATCAGTCCTGTATAGCCTGATCAACAATCTGAATATCTTTGACATCTCTGCTGCCAGAAAAATAAAGCAAATACTAAACAGAGAAATTTCAACACTTTTGCAACTTTCCCACCAATCTGTTAAATTGAGTTTATCCATCAGTCATCTGTAGACTACACTTGAGATCTTCTGCCCCAAAACCTACCACCAACCTTGTAACTTTCTCAGGCAATAAGAATTCCCTGTGTGTTTCCTTCTAAAATTCAGTATTTTTGGCAAAGTTTAACAAACAAACAAAAAAGAATGTTCTGAGGATTCCAAAATTCTTTTTAAGATATGGAACTCAGTATTGGCAGCCAGGTGATTATTAATTTTATCTACTCGCAGGTACCAGTCAAGTGAAGGACAAATTCACCCGTCCATTATTATTATTATTATTATTATTATTATTATTATTATTATTCAATCAACTATCAAGGTTCTTATAGCAGAATACGTACTTCTAGTTGTGCCCATGTGTTCACTGTAGCTAATTTCCAGGTTATAGTTTATAGGATAGACTGTATGAAATCTTTGATATTCTTGGGAGGATTCACAATAGCTATTTAAATTTGTATGTGTTTTGTGATCATTAGGCAAGACCCCTCCTTAGCAGACTTCAAGAAAAATCTGAAAACCTGGCTTTTTTGATGTGCCTTTGAAGAGTGACCTTTCACACCAGTTGTGTTGCCCCATCTATAGTGTTCCCCCTATAACACACTTTCCCCCCATTTTAAACTGAAAGCCTGAACCCACTGTTTAGGCTCCCCTCATGTGCATATTTCCTACTGCTACCTCATCCGGGGTTTTAGCATTTTATCTTTTCTATTTGGCCTGCCCACCCTATTCAATTTTACATTGTGTGAATTTGTTTTATTATTTCATTCTGCTATTGTAATTTATTTATTATTATTATTTTCATCTTTTTCTGGATGTATTTTGTTTGCTATTTGGTATTTTATTGTGTTGTATTGTATTTTTAAAAGGGCTTGGCCTCATGTTAGCTGCCCCGAGTCCCCATTGGAGAGATGGTGGCAGGGTATAAATAAAGATTATTATTATTATTATTATTATTATGTAAAATTCTAATTGACTATTCTTGATGGGGCTCAACTACATAGTAGTTTTGGAGGTGTAATTTCACCAGATAATTTCAGGCATTGTCTAACCCTAAACCCAATCTCAGAGGGGAGATCTTGAGACCCCACTCTTCCATGGTTTGTGGAATGATCCTCTAATGCTCAATCCCTAGAAGAAGAGCCCAAGGATGCTCCCTATATTCTTAGGAGATTTCACACTTATTCACATACAGCATGGAAAAATGGCCATGCTGTGTGGGTAATTCTGGGAATTGTGATCCCATAAAGTATCACTTCGAAGTACACACACTCATATCCCTCCAGACACTCACCTCTCAGCAACAAGAATACCAGCACAATTTGACAGCAGGAGAAAGTCAGCATGGTCCAGGATCATCAACCTTGGATCATCCAGCTCTGACACCAATCAGGGAAGGTGAGAGGAATATATGCCGGGATGCTGAAGACAGGAACTCTTGGACAGGATTGGTGCACAGCTAAAAGGAGCAACCTCTTGGCATTGTAGAGTACCAGGGAGGTTGCCAATGAGCTAAACCTGAGCTGTTGAGTATTGTCCTACACACTCCACCCCCAGCTACCCAGTGGGGCCAGCTCAGCTGCCTACTCACTGGGAAGCCAAGCTATCCTTAACCTTTTTTATCTCCACCTCCATCTCTGGGCGGGGAGGAGACACTAGTGATTTTAGAGCAATATGAAAGAGGGAGGAATTGATGCCTCTCTGTGTGTGTATGAGAGAGAGAGAGAGAGACGTGAGCAAAGGAAGACAGGACTCTCTCTTATTTCACAATTCTGTAGAACAGAAAACTTCATCCAGTTCTTAATAGAGGAGAGCAGGTGATTGCTGTACTCACTGAAATTCCTTCTTCGGGAACTATTTTGGCTACCAATTGTTTGCATATAGTAGAATGCAAAGTGTTGGCACAAGACCTTTGAAAGCCCCTAAATTATCTGGGATTAGCATACCTGAAAGACTATCTGCAGAAACCTGTTCTTTTGTTTCTTTTTCACTCTTTAGGTTTCAGTTAGGAATTGTTCTATAGCACTTCAGTGTTCTTAGTGCCCCAACAAGGGAGGAGAACCAACATGTTGGTTTCTCTGACCTTTTACTCCAGTTCCTTGTTAGCTTAGCTTCTCTGCCCACCACCCTAACATCCCGCAATGGACACCAATCTTCATTCAGTTGTCTCATCAGGGGAAGACCTCGGGGGAGAAATTCAGGGACCTAATCCAGCAAAAATGTACAGAAGTCTTCCAAACACAATAAGGGATTATTTGCCACACAATGATGTAAATGACATAATCCATATTAAAGTCCATAGCAGGAATGGGCAGCTACGCTGGGTCCAAGGACAATTTTATTGTCCCTGGCATGTATTATCCAAAATGTCACAGATGAACACCCGGACAGATGTGGCAAGACAACATGAGGGTGTGCTGAAGATGGAAAACATTTTGAGCTCAGAGCGAGTACAGAAGTTTGCTTTGGTCTGATCCTATAGGGATATTATTTATTTATTTATTTATTTATTTATTTATTTATTTATTTATTTATTAGGAGCATTTCTATTCTGTCCTTCTCACCTCCGAAGAGGGACTCAGGACGGCTACCAGCAGTCACCATTTGGTGCCGAAGAATAAATAACAAAGCATAAAATAGACTTAGCATACATCCAAAACAATTAAAAATATGCATTAAAACAGTTCGCCATTTCAAGTCGTCTTTCAAATCAATCCATTGCTGTTCACTAAAACAATCTTACCATTAAATAATCTATTCTGCAAACACTTGATCCCATAACCAGGGTTTGAGCTTCTTCTGGAAGGTCATGAGGGAGAAGGCAGATCTGATCTCATTAGGGAGGGAGTTCCACAGCCAAGGGGCCACCACCGAGAAGGCCATGTCTCTCGTTTCCACCAAATGTGACTGCAATGGCGGTGGGACTGAGAACAGAGCCTCTCCAGATGATCTTAAGGTCCGTGGAGGTTTGTAGAGGGAGATACGTTCAGACAGATAAGCTGGGCCAGAACTGTTTAGGGTTTTATAGGTCAAGACCAGGATTTTAAATTGTGCTCGTAAGTTAATAGGCAGCCAGTGAAGCTGGCATAACAAGAGAGTTGTATGCACCCTGTACCCCGCTCTATGAGCAACCTGGCTGCTGAGCGTTGGACTAGCTGGAGCTTCCGAGCAGTCTTCAGAGGCAACCCCACATAGAGTGCGTTGCAGTAATCTATGTGGGATATAACCAGAGCGTCGGCCACCGTGGATAGATTCTGTCTCCTCCCCCCCCCCCCCCCCCAGTTGAAGTTGAATCCATTGAGTACAAACTATTTTTTACACTTTGAACTCAGTTTGGAGCAACCAACATAATGTTAGGACAAAGGTGGTGAAATCAGAAGAAGGGACATTCTAATAGCAGGTGAAAAATAGTAGGTTGACAAAAAATTAATAGGGACTCTCCTTGCCAAATCAGGACAGCTGAGGAGTGTGCTTGGATCTTCCAGGGGCTCAGCAGGTAGCTCAAAAACAAAACCAAAGTGACCAGAACTTCACTTTTGCTACTGAAAGCATGATATTATCTATATATTTATGCCACAGGATCCCTGCATCCTATGTAAAAAGTTGAACCACCAGTCCTGGAGGTTTTGAGGAGAGGCAATTCCACCCACCTTTTGTTATTATGTTTATTTTGGCCAGGAAAGAGGTGATGAAGCCTGGAGAGGTTGGGGGAAACAAGAATAGCATCAAAGCCAGATGTAATTGCCGAATTGCATTTTATTTATTTATTTATTTACAACATTTCTACCCCGCCGTTCTCAACCGCCGAGGGGGGACTCATAGCGGCTAACACTGGCAACAATTCGATGCCACAAAACACAGTATAACAACAGTATAAAACCATAAATACACAATAGATTAAATACAATGACATTAGTTATTGTGCCCTACCCTGATCTGAAAATGGATTTTCTATCTTCACGTCATCTAAATTACCATGGTGTTATGACTAAAGTTGCCAACCTGCCCTACTAAATTTTGCACGTGTGTGTACGGCTAGCTACGTACACATATATAATACAAAATGGGAGTAAAACACTTAGGAGAGAATGTTTCTGGAACACAGCCGTACAGCCAGAAAACTCACAACAACTCAGTACAACAGTGCTTGGGAAAGCTGAAGGCACTAGAAAAATAGGAAAACTCAATTATGGAATGCCCTACCAGTGGACATCAGGCAGGCCCCTTCGTTACTGGTGTTTCGGAGGAGGGTGAAGACGTGGCTCTATGAACAGGCATTTGGATAACTATGCAATGACAACTAACTCAGTAAGACGGCATTTGAACAAGGAACGGAAAAGGATTGTGAGAACGGGATCTGATTCTAATTGAGGCGTTGATGACTATGTGTGTTGTTTGTGTATGTGCGTCTTATATATTGTTCAGTGTTGCCCATTTTTATTGTAAACCGCATTGAGTCGCCGTCTCAGGCTGATAAATGCGGTATACAAATGGAGTAAATAAATAAATAAATAAATAAATTACAAGTGGATAGTCTCAAATTCTCAATGATGGAAAACCATGGCCTGGAATTTCAAGACCTAGGCAAAACAAGTTAATGACGGCATGTCTTAAATATTTTTCAATCACAGGGTCACCCTAAATCAAAGCCAATTGGACAGCTGTGAACAAAAATAAACAAGAGCAGGGGGAACTTCAGTTAAATGAGGCTGGACTTCAGACAGATATTATTTGTTGTTGTTCATTTGTTCAGTCATCTCCGACTCTTCGTGACCTCATGGACCAGCCCACGCCAGAGCTCCCTGTCGGCCGTCACCACCCCCAGCCCCTTCAGTCAGTCAGTCCAGTCACTTCAAGGATGCCATCCATCCATCTTGCCCTTGGTTGGCCCCTCTTCCTTTTACCTTCCACTTTCCCCAGCATAATTGTCTTCTCTAGGCTTTCCTGTCTCCTCATGATGTGGCCAAAGTACTTCAACTTTGTCTCTAGTATCCTTCCCTCCAATGAGCAGTCGGGCTTTATTTCCTGGAGGATGGACTGGTTGGATCTTCTCTCAGTCCAAGGCACTCTCAGAACTTTCCTCCAACACCACAGCTCAAAAGCATCGATCTTCCTTCGCTCAGCCTTCCCTAAGGTCCAGCTCTCACATCCGTAGGTTACTACAGGGAATACCATGGTTTTGACTAGGTGGATCTTTGTTGCCAGTGTGATGTCTCTACTCTTTACTATTTTATCGAGATTGGACATTGCTCTCCTCCCAAGAAGTAAGCGTCACATTCTACACTTCAGTAAAATGTGGGTGAACATCCACAGAAATGCCCATAAGAACTTGGTATCTGTATGTCATGCTCTTAAATGGTGGAACGGTGGGAAAAATCTTCAGTCCACTGAATAGTTCATAATGTATTATTCAAACAATTTTAAAAAGCATGGGGTGATTATGTGCATCTTTATTTTAAGGGCACCCAGCTTTTCTTAGGTGAGGTACAAAACCACCAATTTTTCACATATCAAAACCAGATATATGTGGTTAAGCAACATCGGAATGTCATCAAAATGACAAAAAAGAACAAAGAGAAAGAATCCCACAAACTGGGACAGATTGCTTTTGCTTGAGCCTACAGGGGTGGGGGGGGGGGCGCGTCCAGACATTGCTTTTATCCCAGGAGCTCCCGCAGCAAACAGGAGAGTGGTCAGGTGCTATTCCCTGTAAATGTGGAAGCAATAGCTACAAAAGATTTGCAGGTGCGAGAATATCCCGGTTCTGAGCTGGAAATCCACATCTTCCAATGCCTGTCTGTCCATGCACTTGGGAAGCAAAGGATTTTTAATCTTGGTTTCTTCCCAGATTTCAAATGTCTTTCCCTGATTGGAGGCTACAAAACCCAGGGACAAATCAGGAAGTGTGGACTATGGAGTCAGACATCCCGGGACCAACAGGTCCATATGCGGACCTGCTCACAGGTCTGGGGGGGGGGGGCACAATTTGGTGCTATCTGAAACTGCCCTGAAAGGAGAAAGATTTTTTATTCTTCATTTAAAGAAAACTCTGCTATGGCTGCAATGACTGCTGTTCTTTCTTTTCTTTCTCTTTTCTCTTTTGCTTACAATTTTCTGTGCAAGTGAAACTTCATTACAAAACTTTAAAATTATTTTCCCTACATTGTGATATGAGTTGATATATAAAGGAATGCAATAACGAATCTGAAAGTATATGCATAATTAAAATCCTATCAAAAGGACAGATATATTCAATTCTAAAAGAAGGGTGGGCAGATTATTGACTTATAAGACATATACAAAGTTGGCCCTCCATATTTTCGGGGTTTGACTTCTGTAGATTTTATTAAAATATTTCTAGAAATCTCTAGATACTTCAGTATGATTCTATAATTAGGTTCTAGTGGAAGCTGACTACAAGGTCATGCTGCTTGTTGTTTATTCCTTCAGTCACCTCCAGCTCTTCGTGACCTCATGGACCAGCCCACACCAGAGCTCCCTATTGGCCGTCACCACCCCCAGCTCCTTCAAGGTCAAGCCAGTCACTTCAAGGATACCATCCATCCATCTTGCCCTTGGTCAGCCCCTCTTTCT